ATACAGATACTACGAGGACGACCCATTGTACCCTTTCGGCTACGGCCTCTCCTACACCGAATTCTCCTACAGCAGGCTACAGTACGCCAACGTTATAAAGGCAGGGGAAGATGTCGAGGTCTCCATTCTGTTGCAGAACACAGGGAAATATGAGGGTGATGAGGTCAGTGGAATCTACTTGTCTTTCGTTCAGTGTGATTCCCTTTGTATAACTGATGATTATTGCAAGAAAACCTAAGATGTGTTTTTCACAATATATATAGCCTGTCGAGCACATTTACTTACACAATACACATTGAATGTATTTAGTTTTGTTTTGTTGCTCTCAAATTCACGATGGTTGAGAATATATTCTGAAAGAACAGGGAGAAAAGTTCTGTACCTAAGTCACTGTTCTTGAAACGAGGAACGCTTTGATCACCAAAAATGAGCCATGTTCTTGTGCAATTCACACAATTAGAATATCTATACTATGCACATAATGCAATCATCCTCACATGACAAGCGTTAGAAATAGATTATAACCTGACTTTTGCAAAGTCCTCAAGAACAAAATACAACATATTGTTTCTAGTAGCGTATTGGTATTAAAATTGTGGCATGATATCTCAGTGGTAAAAGCATTATTTAGTATGCTTACAGACACACATGCAAGCAGTGCAGTTGCGATATGGAGACATGACATTATTGCGATTTGTTACTGTTTGGGTCAAATATTCTTCTTTGCAGGTTGTTCAGGTTTATATATCCTGGGGCAGCCCCAGTGTGCCAATTCCACGGCGACAGCTGGTTGCTTTTGAGCGTGTCACCATTGCTGCCAATGCTTTCCAAGTGGTTAACGTGACGGTGTCAGCAGAGAGCATGGCCGTTTGGGTGGATAACTCGGGGTGGGTGATAGAGCCAGGTGAGTGAGTCAGTGTGGGTACTGGTATATATACTGTACCTGTTTACTTGTCATGTACACTGTGCCTCTAACGCTGACGACCTAGATGTAGATGCAATTTTATAGTTCATTGCACTGGTGACAACTCTTGGCTGGTGATTTAACAGAAAAAAATAGTTTTAAATTTCAAAATACATGTAGTAGTTAACGTGACGGTGTCAGCAGAGAGCATGGCCGTTTGGGTGGATAACTCGGGGTGGGTGATAGAGCAAGGTGAGTGACCCTTGTGGGTACTGGTATATACTGTACCTCTGTTTACTTGTCATGTACACTGTGCCTCTAACGCTGACGACCTAGGTGTAGATGCAGTTCTATAGTTCATTGCACTGGTGACAACTCTTGGCTGGTGATTTAACAGAAAAACATAGTTTTACATTTGGTCTTCAGCAACCCATGTTTGTGTGAAGCGACAAACGGGATCGGATGATCCGACTCGTTCACATGGTTTATACAGTTCATCCCAGTTGTGTAGATCAATGCGCATGATGCCAATCACTGGATTGTCTGGACTCGACTGTTTAATGATCGCCATTATAAAGATGGAACATTCTTAGACCTCAAGCAACGACCAAATAGACCAACACTTCTATAAATCTGATACATGTAGAACAATTTTTTATTTTGTGAGTGCGACGTTTCGATACAGAATCTGTATGGAAACGTCGCACTCACCACAGGCAAACTGTAGCGCAAATAGGGTTGCGCAACCCTATTTGCGCTACAATTTACCTATGCACTCACGAAGTAAAGAAGTTGTTATCCATAAAAAAGCGTTCTATATTGTACGTCTCAACTTCTAAAATGCCACCCAAACAAATCAAAGTCAAAAGGAGTTTATTTGTAACGAGGCCAAGGGCCCATATACAAGATATAACTATACATAGTTAACAAGAGCATACAAATGAAGTCTAAAGTGTTTCTAAATACCTATTTCTTTTTATATATGCATGGTAAATGTAATACTGTACACGTCTGATTAAATTCTCCTGAGTTGTACATATCAGCCTTTTATATTTATGGATAGAAGGGAACTTCCAAAAGTGTTCCGGAAGAAAAGTTATTCTCAATTCATTGTACAAGTGGCATATAAGTGTGAAATGATACTCATCCTCTACAGAGGTGTTGCAAATGGGAATACAAACGTAAACCAGGTTCGATTGATTGCCACCTACCTTCATAATGACGCTGCCCTTAGCCATAATCCTGCAACTTCCATCAAAATGAGGCTTGTTCTCGTCGTCGGCAGTGGACGCAACCCTTTCCATTCAGAGTTATGGTTAGGATCTGCTATGTGATTTGTAAGCTCTGACCTCGTGTTGACGTCTTCTGAACAGCGTCTAGTACCTTACTGTCCAGATGGCTGTTCCCTCACGTGCAGGTAATTTGTCCCTGTTCCACTGATCTGGGTACTGTAGCAAGAGCATTATTCAACTAGTAATTTTGGTTCTGTTGCGGTTATTGATTCTCATCCATATTGTAACACAAGTCAGAGTTGTGACCCAGCGTGTCCAGTTTTTATGTGGTGAGCTTTCTTGGGTTCATCAGTGATGCGATTTTTCCATCATCCAGTATCTTAGCTATTGAAAAGTGCATTCCTATAGCAGGTTTAAGTCAAGTTGACAAGCTGATCGGTTATTAGCCCATTAGCAGAAAATAGCTCAGAAGTCTTTCGTTCCCTTGGGTAAGGGTCTTTGAGTAAATAGACGAGAAGTGTCTTCTTTGCCGTAAACAAAATGGTCAAGATTTGCCGAGACTTGAAAACACACAAGGTTTGTCTTCTCATTAACCATCATGATCATCCTCTTCAGGTTACATGCAGATGTTTGCGGGTGGGCAACAACCAGGTCAACAAAAGTCTGCCGCATCACAAGTGTTGGAAGGTAGATTCAAAGTCGAGGGGTCCAAGTATCTTGGTGTATATTAAGACAAATCAGCTTTGCATTAATAAAATGTGCCTTGCGAGAACTGTCATAACTATTCCTCTGTTATCTCTTTCACAATATATATGGGGTGGTGGGGATAGCCTAGTGGTTAAAGCATTCGTTCGTCACGCCAGAGACCGGTGTTCGAATCCCCACATGGGTACAATGTGTGAAGCCCACTTCTTGTGTCCCCCGCCGTGATGTTGCTTACTTACTCACTCTTTCATAATATACTGGACAAAAGAAGTTAGGGATATTGGTATTGTTATGATTATATTTTATCTGTGAGTCAATGAATAAATAGATCATTATTCATAATTTCAAAATTTACATATATCCCTAACTATTTTTGTCCAGTATATAAACCTGGAAAAATGTTAAGCACCAGTAAATATATTGACAGCCAACAGAACTGTGTTCAAGTTCAGCTTGTGTATGATAAAAATATTCATTTAAGAAAGTATAATATATTGCAAGTGTGTTGGTGGAAACACACCCTGAGGAGTGTGTCCAGAAGCAAACCCACAAATTTTCACATGTGCAGTTTGTGCACGTGTCAATATGTCAGTATTTCATCTGCATGGGTAACAATGTTCAATCATTTTTCTCCCACTATGTCACGAAGCTGATCATCAGATCGCCAGAGACGGCAAATTATCGGTATGCTTAACTCGGGAATGTCCTTTAAAGCAACTGGTGGGGAAATGACTGTCCACTAACCAAAAGTCGGCCGTTTGGTCATGCAATACAGGGAAACAAATCAGTTGAATGATCTCCCACGTTCTGGAGGACCTTGGATGATGTCAAATCGTGAAGACACCACACCAATGAGGCTCACTCCACGAGAACCACTTGCCACAAAAACTATTCTGAAGCACCACTGGTTACTCTCCACGAGAACAGTCAAGAATTGCCTAAGGAGTGTGGAACAACTCTAGAAGGGTCATCAACCGTCCACCACCGGCGATCATTACCAACAAGCATGTTAGGGTTGGTGTTTATCATGACAACGCTGGAATCTGAGGGCACATTGGTCAGATGAAAGTAACTGATGGATGCTTGTGAGTTTGGAGGCAGGGGAAACATTCAACCAATTGTTGTCTTTGGTGGAGATTCCATCTTGGTATGGGGGTGCATCTCACGAATGTACATGACTTGGTAACAATCCGAGGGCATATGACATGTGATCAGTATAGCCAGGAAGTGCTGGATCCAGTTGTACTTTGATAGTCATCCTCTTGCTATTTGACCTGTGTCTTATGGTTGACAACGCTGGGCCACACTCTTCTTGTGCAGTGACAGCTTTCATAGCTTTCATTTCTTGGCCCATCAGAGTCCAGACCTGAACCCCGTTTATCAGGCAACTGATACAAGCATGTGCACACCTTCAAAATCGGCCTGAGTAGAAGCAGATTTGAACCAAGGATGGCGACAATTTCTTCTGCATGACAGGGGTATGAGACGTAGAGTACAGGCAGTTACCAGGTTACAAATACAGGGTTCACTAGATATTGATTGTACAACGTTACCAGGTTACAAATACACGTGCCATACATGCCATATTGCCCGATCTCTGGTTCCATACTTGTAACAGGTATCATTTTATAGGTCTGTCCTTTTCGTGTTTTCTTGTACTCAAGACATGATCTAACAGAACAAAATGTAGCCTAACCAAAGTACTGTGCGTTAACACAATTGATATTAGCTGAAACTTGTAACTTTGCAAAAATTAGTGTTTGCTTAATTGTTTTCCTGGTGCATATATAATGAGGTGGAAGTCTGAAACCTCTACTTAATAATAACAGGATAACACTTTCAGTCAGTACTTTCTTGACAAGCCAATTGATGAAACCGAAAATTCACATTGTATTTGTCAAGACAACATTTATTTGCTGGGAACCCTCAAAACAAGTTTGTTTTCTCATCCCAAGTACTATATTCTTGTCAACACAGCCATAAAAATGCATAAAGACAGTTACAACTGGATGATAATTTACACTATTAAGGGTTTAGATTGCTGATTCATTTTTGAAGAGCTTGAAACACCAAAGTTCCTTTCATAAAGAATCAAATTAAAGAAATTAAATTAAATGTCAAGATGTTACAAATCAGGGAATAAACAACAGAAGAGCAACTGCACACAATATAATTTAATGAAATGATTACAAGCCCTGTACATTTGTATCCAATGTAATCTGTGTTTTAACCCATTATTCAGCATCGCTCTATGCAGCTGTAATGTCCTGACAATTGTGAATAATGAGTTAAGGCAAAACATAAGCCAACAAACAATGAAACCAGTTCCAAGTTTTAGTGTGTAAAAGCATAGGTTTCACATCACAAATTGTTAATAATACACCATCTTGCTGTACCCTAAACAAGGAACAAAATGCACTTTCTTAAAAATAAATACAAAATGGTTAGGTGTATAATTTAAAGGTCATAGACAAATTTAAATGATACAAAGACACATACTTTTTTGACAATATCCTTAATCACAATCAAGTTCGCAGAAACTGTGTTCATCGATGTTTGACAGACGCCTGGGCATAACCAATGTCGCCCCACAGAAAACGCCATCATTTGAGCATCAAAGCAAATCTATTGAACTAATTTGTTCATTTCGTATGTACACTATAAATGTACAAAATAAATGTGGAATTGAAGGTTTCTTTTCGAAAATGTATGATTGAATTGCTGGTTAAGTGTTTAAGAAATCATATTACAATAGTTTTCAATGTCACATTTACAATGGTTTAAGTTTCAATGGAGTACATTCAGGACCAGTTGACATCTGAATATACTGACATCACAGTATTTCATTTCACAGGTGAAATCTTGAATAGATGTGTGCACGTCACACAAGTAAGGTCTCTATGAGAGACCTTCAAAATACTAGCAACATTTTTCAGAACACTTTTTTTTTTATTTCTAACATAATTTTTAAGGCATTTAAATGCTCACAAATGAAAAACTAGAGTGTGCAAATAAAGTTAAATAACAGAAACGGTGGTAAATTGTCTCATATAGGAACACATAACACGGTTGTACAAAGTCAATAATTACTAATGTATGACAAAAAAGATTTGTCCTCTATCAACTTATCAAAGACTCATTTTAAGAGTTCAAAGATTTAAATATTTGAGTCTGATACATGTGAGCTGGTAAACAGAATATGAACCTTATCAAATTCTTAAGAGGCATTTAGAAGTTGGTGAATATATAAGACGAGTATATGGATAGCAACAATAGAGAAGTTGCCATCCATATACTTGTCTTTTATTATAACCTCATCAAACTTAAATATTCAATCGTTTAACACTTACAATGAGCCTTGGATGATTTAAATTGTAAAACTGACAATTTCGGTGATAGCTTTCAAGGCCTTAATCACTCAACAGTAGTTGTTCAAAAGAGTACTGATGACAAAGCTAAAAGTTCTGGTTCAAAGGGAGTACATCCAATAAGATGTTGCAGTATATTTGCAAGAAAAATAAGCACTGTGATTGATTCATTGTTCTGTTCATGACACTACCTCTGCTCTAAGAGTACATACATAACACTACATCAGCATACAAGGGAAACAAGGTGGGAACAATACTACTCGCTTTCGCATCAATATTGTAATTGCAACTGTAATACATATCCTGATTAAGTAGTGTCAGTCATGCTCTATCACAGAGAAGCATAGAATCATACACTGAATATTCAGATACATACAAGAGCAAAGACAGCACTTGTGGTAAAAGTGTCACTTTCAACCATTTTTCAAGTCGAGTTTCAATTAAATGTGACAGTGCTGAATCAAAACAGAATTGGGTGCTGGTATTAAAATACTGTCAAAACATATGAAGACAGTAAACAACTAAGGAAATGCCTTTCCTCTAACTGTACAAACCTAACAAGGTCTAGTATATGCACAAATACAAACCAGGTTTTATGTCAATTTCAAATATATTTCCATGTAAGAACACATTAATTTGTCAGAAAGCAAAAGCATTGTTTTGAGAAAGAATGAACATCAAATAGTATTGGAACCTTACCAAAACAACACTGGATGTGAACAAACCCAACTGAATGTCACAGCTGTAGATGAAGTTACTGATTAGGATAAGATAACATATCAACCACAATATTCCCCTTACTTTAGCACTAAATGTGGTTCATGTGAGAACCAAGGGTCAGTGAGACTTCAATATATTTCAGTGATTCTTAATGCTTCATACACAACACTGATGTTATGTTAGACAACAAAAAGTGGCAATCTGCTCAATGTTAGTTACCAACTGGTTACTTTAACACTTCCAAGACAGATGGTTTTACACCCAGCAAACAGACTGGAAAGTCTGGGCCCCAAAACAGTTCACTTGTGACAAAAAGAAGCCTTGATCTTGGTAACAGCAAATACACATCCCAATTGACTATCACATTCCCAATATTGACATGAAGCAAACCAATATAACATTTGTTTTTCTAACAAAATTACATACAAATAGAAATTCTAACCCAAACTTAACAAACCAGTTTCAGTAGGAAGGAGCACTTTACGCTTAAACAGTCTTAACAAATATATTTTCTTTGATGTTCATTCTGTGAATATTGTCAGTGTAAAATGCATAATTTCATTCCATTTCTAACAGTACAGATCATGAATAAAGATGCCAAGTTGAACCACCAGATCAATGTCATCTTTCACAATCCAAAAGCCAAGTGGATACAATAACATTTGACACAAGCATTATACATGTACCCATCTGTGCAACAGTAAAAGGAGATTCAAATATACCCAAATGATCTAGTTTCGTGATTCAAGAAGGTTGTTACATAAAATGCATATTTACTCCATGGCTGAATGTTCAACTGGGTCAATGAATTACTAGTCCAATACTGGATGTGCCCACAACATTCTCTTCAATCCAATGATGTCGACCAAGTCATTACGATACGCTAATGCATTTATCCATCAAAGTCTTTGTCTGTGTGAATTGAGATGACACTTGAGTGACTGGCAAGGCCTGCCACGAGTTGAGACTCAGGTCAGGATTGGGACTTGGTGCCAAGTATCACAAGAAGTTTGTCCTCCACACTGGCCACTAGCTTCTTGTTGAGGAGTCTCTCCAGGTGCTCCACCAGCTTTTCACTCGGGTTCAAGGGTGCAACGATGCTCTCATCAGAGACTTCAGACAAACACTCAACTAACAGTTCCACAAAATGACACCTGTAGACAACAAGATAACTCATGGGAGAAAAGACACAGGTATTACGAGATAAGGTTATTTCAGTGTTCATGAAATGCGGAGTGTTTATGTCAAAGCAGAATGGTCAGTCTATGCTAATCAACATCTAGGATGTTTGTGACAGTTTTTTTCTTCTTTTCAAAAAGTAAGCAATCAGTAAAAGAAATGGACATCACTTTTGACAAGTCCTTACAAAGATGTGGCAAAATGCCAAAGGAACCACAGGAATGGACTCAGGGTTTTGTGTAAATTTACTGAAATGCAAGCCATGGAGATTTTTCAAATCCTATATTTTGATTATTAGGAAGCTACTTCAAACTGACTTGTACTAAAACCTATTCATGTTGGCCACAATGGAATTTTCAAATTCTTTATTTTCAATGTCTGAAAGCTACTTCAAAATTTTTTTAAAGGTGATAAACTTTAGACTCCATTGATGGAATCCACCATGAAAATCGGTCATTTGGTTTCAGAGAGAATGCCCACATTATTAATTACTCAATGGCTATATAAAATGCCAGACAAGCACCCATGTCAAGACCCCAGGTGGAATTGGTTAGTGCAGGTTTAAATGCTTTGGGTAATCAGACAGAATGCAACGGTTGATCAGACTCAGAGACTGAGTTAAATGTATGTATTCCGAACAAGGACATATGTGGCTCATGACATCAATCCCTGGTTTGGCAGGCCCAGAAACAACTGTTAACAGGCCACTATGTGGTGTTGTCATCAAAAGACACAAGTTGAAGACAGAATTATCACCATGTTAACAATAGTCAATCTTCATGCATAGGTGCAGTGATCAGAAAACTGACAACTGGAACGACAGTCTCAAATAAAACCATTTTAAACTGAGCCAATTCATTCTAATTAGTAAGCAGAACAAGTGATTTCTTTCAAAACTGTACATGCATACCGGGTGATAACTTCATAACTTACCAGTTTGTTTGCAGCTGATTATCAATATCAACAGGAGAGGTATTCTTGTAAATATCTTCCATTCTGGCCAGCATTGCACACAGTATGGTTGAGCCAAACTGAAACATGAAGGACTCCTTTTGTTACAAATGTACATCTCTATGAACTGAGGTTTACATGCCACATTTGGGAGATGATATTCCAGCAATATCACAGCCGGGACACCACAAATGGGCTTCACACATTGTACCCATGTGAGAAATCAAACCTGGTTCTTCAGCATGACCAGTGAATGCTTTAACCACTAGGCTACCCCAGTGATGCCAAAACATTTTAGACAATGTGAACTGTTAGAAAAGAATCTTTGCATTCCCACTGCAGTTCTTTCACAATGGCAATAAAGTCAATGACAAAGTCATTTGCTGAAAAAGCAATTTTCCATGACTAAAACTCATATTACCTGACCTTGACAATCCTGCTCACTTATTCAGAAGCCCCACAACATCTCAGTACACGTATGAGCAAAAGCAAGAGATACTAACTTTAAATACACCTGCAATGTACATATACAGGGAGGTAACTCCAGCAATTATCTAAACACACAAAACTGGGATGCATTCTTATAAAGATTGTGCCAGATATGCAATGTAAAATGCACAAAAACAAAACAACTGGGGATAAAGGTATTTCTTTCTGTCAGTTTGGAATTAGATACTATCCAGCAAAAGCATTTGGTCATGAACAGTTACCTCTGTTCTTAACTCTATTAACCTCCACACAGAAGCTGACACTGGCTCATTGACACATTGTCTGGATACCTCATTTATGTCATGTTAATTCTTTAATAAAAATATGTTTGTTTAAACATTACCTGCCTGTAAGTCATGTGCATATATCTGACATTTCAATTTATTGAATTAAGGGTGGCCAACTTTTGCATTTTCTTTTCATATATTTCATCACTTATGTAGGACTGGATTTGTTTGGGTATTTTCTGTGATAGGACATTTGAAGTATATTCATGTACGCTTCCACATGGTAAAGAATAATGTAGTTTTGATGTACTGATTATAATACACACTGGACTGTTAACAAAATATTGTTGAAGTCAGCTGATGGTGATCTAAACAAATTGCATCTGGTCTGCTCGCTTAATTCCTAATTTTATTTGAATAGAGGTGCATGTACAAGAAAAAGAGAAAAGAGCATGTTCACATTGTGAATTAACCTATGAACACAAGTAGCAAGAACCAGTGATACCACAAAGATGTTTTTCACCACAACCCTCTGATGAATTCTCTGTGAGACAGACCTTGTTTTGCAACATGGCTGTTATTGCCTTTCCCTGGCTCTGCATCTGCCGGATCTGTTCTCCCACTGTTGCCAGCATTTCAAATGAACTCTTGTTCAGAGCTTGATGCACAGAATCTGTTAGCATTGACTGGCCCTGAAAAAAATTCACCAATATTGATTATTCCAGTTTGTTCCCAACAAGTAAGCCAGGCAGGTTACCCACAAATGTTTTCCCGAATTAAAAGCTACAATTTCTCAATTTACCTACATGCTAGGGTAGATACCCATTATGATTTTTCTCACTCCTACTTAACTCTACAGAAAGATACATAGCTTCTATGATAACTGCCCATAAATAAACAGCCTTGGCAAGGCACACCAGTCACAATCAGCCAGGGCGCATACTTCAACTACCACATCCACATCAGCAAGTTCTTACATTAGTAAGGGTTACTGGGGACATAATCAGGCAAGAATTACTTATGTACTATCATCACTTATTTATATCTATAGAAAACATTCCACAACAAACAATAGCGGAATGTGTACAAACTTCCATTGTTTCTAACAATGATGACCTAGGTATCAGCATATTCTCCTACACTTGACTAGACTGACAAGTAGTTTATCATAATTACTTGACCATATAGAAACAATACTACACAACCACAATGGAGAACACATGAGAGTTTGGTTTGGTTACATCTCAGATGTACTGCACATGATCTTGTACATGTACATGTGATGAAACCCAGCAACACAATATATGGTGCTGACAGGCTACGACCCAGATTTAAGTGTAAATCCGGAATTGGAAAACTGGTCCTGGCATGATAAAGTGATGCCACTCTGCAGGCCACCTGACTCATGGTGACCTCTGCAGGAATTAGAACAACTAGCTGCTTACCTCTTCTGCTTGATCTTTCCTCATGAGTTGTGTGAGGTTACACAGCATCAAGGAGACGATAATACACTGCTGAGCCTGGAACACAGTGAGACAGAAGCAGTAGCTTTAGAGAGAGAACTGTCATCAAGGAAGCAACAAAAAAGGTCACGTCATCTTCCATCTTTTGTTTCGAATGTAAATATTTTTACCCACTGCTTCTGAATAAATTCGATAAATAATGCCTGTTATGTTGAATGACTCCAAATAAATACTTACAGGATCCAGCAAAGGCAAGACTCGTGATAAGAGTTTTCTCCCCTTCCTAACTGACATGATTTGAATAAATGTTTCAATGTTGTCATCAGCTGAAAGGAAGGCAAACAACTGGTCCACTTTCTCCCTTCTTTCAAAGACCAGAGGCATCCTGAAACAAATAAGAAATGTTTTGAACTCATTGCAACAATTCAATTGCGACTTTGGTGGAAGCCACAAACATTGCTGAGTGAGCAAATTGGATGACAGAATTGTCATTCTCAGTGTCCAATATACCAGCTTTCCACAGAGATTCTGATGACATGCCAATATTAGTGAACAAAATGATCTTCTTGCTCTTCCAACTGTCAAAATGAACACAATAATCACATTGATATCAACTATACACAGAGGGGGTCAACACATATGTAAAACTGACTTTCCATTAATAAAGTAAAAGAAAGGTCTACAAGTAAACGTGTCATCACCCACAGTCCACTTCCCCACCACAACAGTCCTCTCCCCACCACACTAGCCTTGCCCGACCCCTCCTTCACATACCTGCTTTCTTCAGGAAGTGCCAGTAGCTTCTTCTCCAGGTCGTCAATATCAAGCAGAAGCAGAAATCCCTGAGTAAAGGAAATGAATATGCTATATTTCTAGATGACCACATGAATAAAGTTCATTCATTAGGAACTGAAAAACTCTAAATTTTACAAATTGTACCTATTTCTTGTAAAATGTATCTCAAGTGCTGAGCAATATCTATCACACTGATTACCTTCTCAATGTCCATGAGTAACTGGCGAACTCGTCGCAGCTCCTTGCTGACATTTTGAGGGTTGTCCTCCTTTGTCTGAGCTACATTCTTGGACAGATCGATGATTGTGCGAGGATTGTGAACACTGGCAGTTGTCAACCGACCTAATGAACCTTCAAACTGAGCTGGAAAACAAGAGCAAAAAAAAGAGTTACACAACCATGAGAAGCATATCAATAATTTAAAAGTAAGAGCAGATAATTCTACATTTACTTGCACATTTATTCTCATCTTTCTTACCTGGTGTGTAAGCCTTTGTTTCCACTTTCGCAAGGTTTGGTATGACAAGTTTTGGATCATCATCACTGAATTCCCCACTCTCTCGTAACTTCTGTCTCTCCTTAGCCTTCTTCTTCAGTGTATAATACTACACACAGAAATGAAATCAATGTCACAGTTCTTGCATATCTCTGTATTGTGCAGGCTTCTCAAGTCATCATGTGTATGTTCGGGGGCAATTACTCATCAGCTCTGATGATGTTTAATTCACCTATCAGCTTACATACCATGCACTTCGCCTTGAGGACAAAAGGGATCCAGCAAGTGGTATTCCGCAAGGTGAGTGAGTTTAGTTTTACGCCGCACTCAGCAAACTTTCAGCTAAATGGCGTCAGTCTGTAAGTAATCGAGCCTGGACCAGACAATCCAGGGATCAACAGCATGAGCATCAATCTATGCAACTGGAATACGATAACATGTGTCAACCAAGTCAGCAAGCCTGACCACCCGATCCAGTTAGTCGCCTGTTACGACAAGCATGGGTTACTGAAGACCAATTCTAACCCATATCTTCAGGGTTTAAACAAACTAAGAGCTGCAAGAACTATCTAACCAGTGGTATTATGCAAGGTGACAACTACCACAAATACCAAGCTATAAGTCCTCTGCAAAGTCACAGCTGCAAGAGTTATCTAGCCAATGGTAAACTGACATTGGTCAACCACCTGACTGGTGACAGCAGGTATTGGAATATTGACAATGGAATAAGATAAGCAAAGGAATATATTTTCAAATGGCAAGACAAGACAAAACTGTCCAAATATTCCCGTATCTGCCCTATGTCCCATTCCTGACTCCAATGTGCTTGACCTTACAGTGTAGTAGTAGTCGTCGAGGTAGGGGTTGTCCGTCTGCAGCTGCATCAGTTGTATTTTGATGATCCAGTCCTTCTCCTTCTGTGTCATCAACCCATCGTAGCTGTCCTCATCCATGTCGTGGTCCACCAAGTCATCCTCATGATGCTGCCTGTTGCGACTGTCGTTGAAGTACCGATGGGGATTGTTGTTGTTCTGGCCATGGGGGTGCCCCTGATTTTTGTGGTAACTACAAGTAAAGCAACATACACCATCGTTGAAGTAATAGTCGGTGCAGGCATTCAATGTTTCTCCAGATTGACACTGTCTGGTTTTGTCAAGAGTTGTAAAACCTAATAAAACTTATAAAATAACCACCCGTTTTCTGTCAATTACCAGCTGATCACAATACATGAAGAATACAATGCTTGTCACAATGCCATATACATGTTCCTTCTTATCTACTGAAAAACAAAGACTTCAGCAGAAAAGTATTGATTGTGTAAGTTCAAAAGTTTCAGAGTTTTGAAACTAAAAATTACACAGGAGCAGAGTTTCAGTTGTTTCATAATGTATGCAGAGTCGTGTAAGTATTGATGAATCTTGTTGAGAATCTAGCATCAAAACAAGTTCACTCGACTAGACGTGTGTGTGTGTCTGTGTTTGCAAAATCATAACCAGCCCTATTACTGTGATTTTCCTCAAAACTTCTACAGTCTTGACATAGCACCATGTACATCCAGTCTTTGGCCTTGATCAAGACAGCATCCAACAATTACCAAGTCTCAGGATTGCACAAGTGAATAAGTAACTGTAAATGATACAACCATGTTTCATGTAACCTTAAAGATAACCTTGACCCTGGACAGACAAGGCACCAAAAAATGGTACAATTGGTAAATCCTTGTGAAGATTTTTGTCTGTCGAGGAAACCAGTACCTCAGAAACTGACACTTGTATGATCATGCTTCACAAAAATCTGAGCGTTAACCTTGAACTTATTTTTTCAATCAAACACAACAGGACATGACTGACTTCTGGTAACTCAGGAAGCAATTGTATTCCTGCAACATGACCACTATGTCTGCTTTTAGAACTCACTAGTTATTTGGATGATATGGTCCTCCCCTGCCTGGACGAGGTCCCCTCATTCCATGAGGATCTGACATTGGTGAATGATGGGGGAACCTGAAATATTTAACACAATTCTTCAAAGCTTTTTGTTGCAGGGGTGGAAATAACTTTAAAGTTGCTCCTGTACTCTGGTACAGTGGCACATGTAAAATCCCTTGCCCTGATAATTTTTCCACTACACCGGCCAATTTTCTTCTTGATTTTCAAATAAACAACATACAGTCAACTCTCGTTAATCCGACACTTGTGGTTGCAGAGAAATATGTCAGATTAACGAAAATGTCGGATTAATGAAAATGTCGGATTAATGTATTTGTGTGAAAATATCAATGTTTACTAAATGTCATGATCGTCATACTGTTGCATGCATATCAGAAATGGTAGATCTAGTTATCTTCATCGTATGTAAAAATATTCACAGAAATAAAAAAATACTAACAATACATACTTGTTTTCATTTCTTAACATTCATAGATGGCATAACATACATATATAATCACATAAGCGAACAGTTTCATATCTATTTCATGACCACAAAACTCACGTTTGTTTTTACCGCATATCAGCTGCCATTATGACCCGGATGTTGAATATGTTACAGTTTCCATACAACATATATTTCCATAATAACATGTAGACGTCTAATGTACAATCAGGCGTGTATCATAACATATATAATTTATAACTTGAAAAAATCTTTGATGGTCATTAACATCAAAAACGTCTAAGTGGTGTGTCAGAAATGTTTGCAAATTAACGTGATTGTCGGATTAATGAGTGTCGGATTAACGAGAGCTGACTGTAATTAACATTAGAAAGTCAACTGGACACCGGTATAGAGTGGTATACAAATTTGCTTGCCCGACAGAAAAAAACACAGGACTGGGACGTCGGGCAATGGGTTATTTCCACCCCTGTGTTGAAACTAGTGTTACAAAACAATACATATTTTTCTAGTTTACAAAGTTAAAGGGTTAGTAAATGCAAAATCAGAACTTTTGCAGATTTTGATATTGACTTATTATGCCTTAAATTCAAAGTAATTTTGAGGCAAGTAACAAACTGTTCAAAATTTGTGCTTGGAATAATAGCAGTCAAAGGGTTTTTGCAAGGGCGTAACCACTTGGTGGGGCCCTCAACTAATATACCGGTACTGTAATACTATCAGCACTGGAGTGACTAGTGATGAGCTGGTGCAGAACCTACCTTTGGCCTGGACTGCCCATTGGACCAAAGGGCATGGGAACGCGGTGACCTCTTTGTATGATGATCGGGCTGGAGAACGACCGGTTTGCATTTCCTGAAAAACATTATTCCATTTAGAAATCTTTCGTATCAGTAATCATGATAACTGGGCATATTAACATCACCACATTAAGGTGGAGAGTTGGTCTTTCTTTCAAAACTTAACACTTCTGGTAAGGCACCAAGGTATTGTTCATCATATTAGAACTTTACATACGAGAAACAAGCACCATTTTCATTGAGTTTTACAACAATATTCAGAGTATAAGCCCACCTAATAAATTAATTGATATTTACATACTGAGTTTACAGTGAACGCAGCCATTGTTTCATCTGTTATGACTAAATAAGATATTGTGAGGCAGTGCAATAGTGAGTTGGGTATAACATGGCAAACTAGCTGAATATAGGGTGAAGTGAGGTGAAATTGGGTTTAACATCGTGCTTGAGAATATTTCACTCATATGACGACGTGCATGCGTGTGTATGTGCAGCTGCTTGTACTAGTCCAGACTAAAGCTGGTTTTATAGTGCTAGCCAACTGAGATACCATGCTGCAGTGAAGCATGAATACCCCACTCAGACACATTATACTGACTTCGAGCTGATCAGTCCTTGTTGTACCCATTAATGCCGAGCGCCAGGCAGGGACCAACAAGTACCATATTTTAACGTCTTTTGGTATGACGCGGTCGGGGATCGAACCCTCGACCTTCCACTCTCCAGGCTGACGCTCTAACCAATACACCCCGGAGACGGTCGCTGAATATGGGGAGCAAACACTGCAGTGATGCAGCTCCCAGATGTTTACCGTTTGTGTAAAACCCATGAGCATGGGAATACTGCTGACAAATCAGGAAACACAAACAACCACGATAATCACAGGTTTCTGGAGTGCGTAAGGGAGGCAACTCCACCTTAGACAACTTGGCCATCTGTGCCCCCATGTTTTGTAGTGAGCAAGGCAGGGATACAGATCTCATAAGTTATATCATTGGTCAAGTTGAATTACTGACATTGTTGCTGATTTCAGAAGGAATAACAGAAGAATAAGCACAGGAATCCATTTCAACTAGGATGTATTACAGCTTACTGTAACACAGAACACTATGGTTGCAACAAGTGAGTGAGTGAGTTTAGTTTACGCTACAGTCAGCAATATTCCACCTATATGGCGGCCGTCTGTAAATAATCGAGTCTGGACCAGACAATCCGGTGATCAACAGCATAAGCATCTATCTGCGCAATTGGGGACCGATGACGTGTTAACCAAGTCAGCGAGCCGGACCACCCAATCCCGTTAGTCGCCTCTTATGACAAGCATGGGTTACTGAAGATCAATATTCTAACCCGGACCTTCACTGGTCGCTGCAACGAATCCACTGTGAGGTGAATACCAAACGTATCATGCAAGTCAGCACTTGATGCATCTATCAACACATTCAGTGAAACAATAACAAACTATATTCTATCACATGTTTTGAGTATGGATTTTCACCGCTTTTAGCAATATTCCAGCAATATCACGGCAGGGGACACCAGAAATCACATGTTTTGACCATGTTAATTTATGATGACAATGACCAGTGACCATGTTACCATCACATTAAACATACAAAAGTGTTGACTATTATCCAACCTGACTTGTATATATATTCCATTTTCTATGTCTCTTTTGATAAATATTGCCCAAATTAAAGACAATCATTTTAAAAATATTTGACTCTAGTGATCGTAAATAAAAATTGAATTCATGAAAGGATATGGTTCGAATCACATAATATGTGAGTGATTAGAAAGTCCTAATCAACACATGCTCTTGTATATCCTTTTTGCCCTAAAAAGATTTAATTGCCAAGTGTATCAAGTACTGATAGAACCTACCCATGTAGATGGCGCCTGGGCTGTTGTAGGGCGACATGAACCTGGCTTGCACTGGGGACGGTGGTCTATGTATGGGGGTACCACAGAGTTGGGGAGGGGTGGGAGAGATGGACCGTGCAAGAGGGGACGATGACATGCCTGTAACAAGACACACTGACAACATCACATTTAACAGGACAAATCTGACAAACTGTGCCATGCTGATAACGGGAAGTAAATCTATCCTATTTAATTTTGAGTTGGTTATCGTTAATAAAACACAACTAAAAGCCATTTGTGGAAGTGGAGGATTCAGCAGTATCTGAGCGAGTGAGTGAGTTTAGTTTTACACCACACTCAGCAATATTCCAGCCAGAGGCCCAGATAAGCTGCATATCCGGGTAAAATACGCATATAAAATTTCCAATAACGCATTGAAAAATAATTGTTGCGTACCAATTACGCATTTTAAATGTTAGATGCGCAAAAAGTTTAAAACAAATGCGTACGGAATATATTTATAAAAATCGCTTGCGTAATGAAAAAGACATCGATTGCTATCAAGTTGTACTGTTAGTATAGGACAAGTGTTGTACTGTCAGTATAGGATGAATGATTTTTTATGAAATCATTTCCATTATATTTAAGTTGGTTTTGATTAGGTATGACATAAGGCAGAACATACCTGCTTAGTAAACTTACTCAATGACATAATACTCAGGTGAGTAAAATGACTGAAATACGCACATATTTGAAAGCAGTGGGTAACAGAAAATGAAATACCCACTCAACATTCATAATACCCACTCCAAAAAAATACAGTGGGTACAGTACCCACATGAGCTAAATGTTATCTGGAGCTCTGATTCCAGCTATATGACAGTGGTCTGTAAATAATCGAGTCTGGACCAGACAATCTTGTGATCAACATCATGAGCATCATTCCACGTAATTGGGCTACGATGACATGTATCAAGCAAGTCAGTGACCACCCGATCCTGTTAGCCGCCTCTTAGGACAAGCATGGGTTACTGAAGACCAATTCTAACCCTGATCTACATGGGTTTCTAATAAACTGTAAACCATCTTAAAATTTTACAGTATAGCTTTATGCCCATCTTCAAAATTCTTTACATTCTATTTGTCCTGGCCAGGACACCCTTAGAGAGCAATAGGTGACCCCTCAAACTAATGTTCCACAACCAATGCAAATACAAGACACACTACATCCATGCAGAAACACCAATGCACGACCATTGATTGGCTGATCAACTGCAGATTAACAGTAGGTTAACATGCAACATTCATACTTCTAAGTTCTATCTACGCATATCAATCACAACATCAACAACACCAACGTACCACAATATTGTGTAAAAATATTACATGTAAATTATTATGCGAGTAAATCTTAAAATCACAGTTTAGCAAAGCATCAAGTTAATATTCATTCACACCAACAAAAAACTTACCAAATATAACAGCCATCAGAAGGATTGCAATACTTCCTAAAGACAATAGCATTCCACAAACAGTGACAGTAAATGGCTCAACCTACCCATAAAGCCTTGGCCGGGTGAGTGCCCTCCAAGGGGTGGGGTCATTGATCGTTGGTGGAGGGGTGACATACGTCCGTCATGAGAACGAGACACCTGCACTGGGCTGAACCCTGGCGGTGGCTGGAACAGTTATCTCACATGGTTAAGGTAAAAGGTTCGAGATATAGGAGTTGCTTATGGTACTGCAGATCAAAATCAAATCATGGCATATACTAGTATATGGACAGTTGTTTGGGAATTTAAATGGCTAGGGATTTGTGTTTTGTTTATTGTTTAATGATTAAATCGGAAATATTACAGCTACAAGTATCCCTCGCCATGACACGAGATAAAGGCCATTGCACAACTACTTTTTCGTGTATTGTGCCTAGTCAGTACTATGTCATATCATTGGAGGTGAACAAATAAACTTTGTAAATGAAAATAGGAAACTTTAAATCTAACGTCACTAGACATGACAATTCACTGGTCTTTGTAATGCTACCTGTTATTCAACTAAGCCATATATGACTGCAGTTTGGACCAGAAAATCCAGTGACTGAGATCATCTGCATCAATCCACACAATTGGGAAATGATGACAGCATCAACAAAATCAGTGAGCCTAACAACCCAATCCTGTTACTTGACTCACGACAAGTATTGATTATAAAACATTATTCTACCCTGTATCCTTACAGGTCCAAGGGAAATGAGAGATCATGCTGCAACCTAGTTTGTATAATTTGTTCATAAAATACCCGCCTATTCTATGTTATGGACATGACAGTATACCATATAGCACTGACATCACAGTGTCTTAGTTGGGATACAATACAATTTCAGGACATGCTATAATGTCCCTTCAGTGATGATCCATTCAATGTACAAGTACTGATGATACATCACATATATACTGCTGCTGACAATACAACACACAAGTCCAGCTGTATAAAATATGCAAAGGACCTATTGCCTGTTAATTTGAGTTGATCACCAACAAACATTAATACATGTCAAAAACCTCACAAGGACGACCTGTTTAAATTACCCAATGTATCCTATGCAATTTGTGTTCCAGATATCATACATGAACTCCATTGCAGCGACAAATGCATAAAAAGGGTACCATGTCAGACTTATTTCAATCAGACATACATCCCAGTTGTAAGTTGATGCAACATGCTACATTCTAGAGGCAACACAAGAACTGATACAAAGAGACACTTGAAACATTTTGAATAACTTTTGAAATACCAAAACCACAGACAATAGGGAGTAAAAATCTATCAACAGAAACATATCAAAGCCCAGTAAGAATGATTTCTGAATTTGTTATTAAATACTCAAAAACATAGTACACCAAACATAGTTGTGTTGACAATATGATAAATGTACCAGTATAAGTGATAAACGCCAAACATATCAGTATTTGCAATAGTATACAGAGATGATATCATCTTCATATTTCATTTCAGGCTGTCAATCTATCTGTATGTGATATTGTTTTGTGAAGTGAGGTCACCTACCATCTGCAAAAAAGCTTGTGGACATGACCTTTTCGTACATGTGAAAATCCATCACTTCAAACATGAACAAACATGACCTCCTCTTCTCATCTTACCTGTGATAAGTTTGGCATCATGGGACCGAGAGGTCTACCAATGGGTTGGATGGGTACTGGCATGGAGAACGGGGACTTGTGATCTGGAAATGTGGAGACACTGCCTGGTGTGGCAATGGTTCTCTTCACAGGAGGGCGGTTTGGTGGGGACTCTCCCCTCATCTGGCGCTCCAACTCCTCGGCTGTCATCACCGTGGGCGTCTTCTTCTTCAGCAGCTGGTTCTCAATCTCTGCCAGTGTTTGGGCACTTGGGGGGAACTATGGGAGACTGGGGAGCAAGCAGGATACCCGACACCTGGGGCTTGGCTTGGATAACTGATGGCTTCTGTAGGTGAGGTGACATGGGGTTTAACATCATACTTGAGAATATTTCGTTCATATGATGACATGCATGCGTGTGTATGTGCGGCTGCTTGTTCTAGCCCTGACTCCAGCTGATTTTATAGTGCTAGCTCCCTGAGATACCATGCCGCAGATAAGTATGAATACCCCACTCAGACATATTGTACTGACTCCGAGCCGACCAGTCCTTGTTGTACCCATTGCCGAGCATCATGCAGGGACCAACAAGGACCATATTTTAACGTCTTTTGGTGTGGCGCGGTCGGAGATCGAACCCGCGAACTTCTGCTCTCTAACCACCCGTGACACTCTAACCACTACACCAAGAAGCCGGCGCTTATGTAGGTCACATTCAATACACTTACACTAAAATATACCAGTATACTTATTGCAAAAGCTCACATTAAACAATACTGACATTTGTTCCAATATTCTGAACAAAATTTATCATTTGAGTTTCGCCTTTTCTTGTCTCTCATAACATTTGCACAGCAACTGAGGGAACAAAGCTGTATGTCCAGTAGTGTTGTGTTATTTATATACCACAGTGGGTTATGATCAAGCAAACTATCGGCAGCCTGTTATTTATCAGGACCAACTAGTGCAAATCAGTGGTTTACAGAATGAGCATGACACTTGAACGTGCCATTTAAACCTCTGCCATATTAAAACATTATCAGCTGCTGAGGACCTATTCTACCTTGCCACTGGAGGACCACAATGAACTGCAGAAAAACTTACATTAGAATTCTGAGTAGGACTTCCAGCCCCCTTAGCAGAGTCAAACAGAGCCTGTAGTTTGTTGACTGGTTTTGTAAAGGAGTCCCTGGCAGGAGAACCCCATATGTTCTTGCTGGTGGGGGACACCTGCAACAAGCAACATTTACATATGAAGACATGCACATTTCACTCAAAACAGGGTCTACTTGATGCTACGATGATTAGAAGTACCATATATTAATACAGAGTTATGATGAGTTTGCAGGATCCTACAGAGTGTTAACGTCATGATGTTTCATGGAAGAAATACAATCAAACTTGAGTTTTCAATTACTATTATGTGTACTCACTGATTCAGAAATGAACACATTAAACCATCAGTTGATTCAATGAAAGTGTGGATCTGGGAAACTATCAAAAGTCCTACAATTTCAACAGGCCCTTCAATCCTACAAGGAGATGACCATATGGATCAGTGTTCTGAGAATACAGTTTTTACAGGAGTTGCAGAATGATGAGGAAACAAAATCATCACTGACAGAATTATGGTCAAAAAGATATCACCACATTTGCATGCTGGAATGATACCAAGATATGCCAGTAATTAATCAAACTGATCCCTCTGACAGCAATGAAGGCTGTTGACAATGAGTTCAGTCCTTACCAGGTGTTCTGTGTCCAGGAAAGCTGGAGGGGACGATGGTCCAAACAGCTTGTCAAGATTAGTCTGTTTCTGCAATTAAGAAACATAAAAAAAACTTAAAAAATTATTCATTGCTTTTGAGCACTGTTTTCTTTCAAATTTTGCTTCTACTGTAATGGTATTCACAGGATCTGAGATAGACCCAAACTTGCACAACCATTTGCCTACTCGTAGGTCATGAAGTCGTGACTATCTTCTATACACAAGAGTGCCAACTTGCCTAAAGTTGCCTTTATCAGCATGATCAGAGTCTAGTTTCCACCATTTCCATTTCAATGATACTTTTCTGTGCTGATACGAGTCTGCTATTGTACACAGTGATAGTTGAAACTGGCAACATTACACATAATCAACATCAGGTTCCAAAAAATATATATGGTGCTTTGAAAACAGCCAGCAGACGTGAAATTTGAAACATTATTCACTAAAATGAGCAAAGAAACATTTTAACTGGTTTAAAGTTTTCAATCTACTCAAACATGTAATTTTTAAAGTAAAATTGATATTTTTATACTTATCCTGACTCATGCTTATCTCCCTTTCCCTTTCGAATGGTAGTGGAACACTTGAATCCCTTGAAGTTCCCGAAGTGGACGTACAATACTCACCCACGAGTTACCTCCCTTTGCCCTCTCCCGTGCAAACCAGTCATGTGACACGCCTTACTTGTCACTCTCTCCTGATTTTCTGCCCATGCAGTTCGATCTGCTGTGAAATCTCAAGTGTCTTCAACGGGGAGGCTGGGAGGGCTTGTTCGTCATGAGTCAGGATAAGTATAAAAATATCAATTTTACTTAAAAAATTACATATTTTTCCTTATCCTGACTCATGATCTTTGCTTATAGAATCCGTCGGAATTGGTGGTGGGTCAAACCACTGGATTCAACAGCTGTCCTTAGATACGTCCTGTATCCCCGCCATGGGAACTGCAAACGGCATTTCCGTGGTCCTATTCTTCCAACTTGCATAGTAACTCGGGGGGGGACCACTCCTTGTCTTACTTCACTCTCAGACAAGTTGAATCATGTTGATTCGTGTGGTTATAGATAAACTAGTATTCTCCTGTACTAGATATCTTATAACAACCCATGGATTATGATAAGATCTTTATCATAAATGAGTTGCGATCCCTTTATGTGCAGGTAAGGTTATTACCCGCACAGGATCTTAATCACTCATGCTAGTCTGTCCTAGACTGTGCGCATGGACTTTCAAACTAATACTTTTCCTAGTAAAAGTCATCTACAAGTTAACGTGATAAAGGGTGAGATTTCAACTCAGAGCCTTTGAAGAACCGTTAGTAGCTGTGCTACAACGAGAGGCCCAAATTGGTGAATGCCTGAGACGTCTTCAGTGGCTATGTCTCGGAGGTAGTGGTTGGCAAACACCGTGTCCGACTTCCAGAAGCAGCCATCCATTATTGTCGGTATAGAGCAATTTCCATGTAGAGCTAGTGTTGACGCCAGTGCTCTATCTTCGTGTGGGTTGGAAGCTCTAGGAGGTTCTAGTCCTGCTGCTATATAGGCTCTCAGTATGACGGCTCTCATCCAAAACGATGTCATTCTCGAGACCTCTGTCATTGTCTCTGTAGATAACGGAATGAATAGGCGCTTGAACTTTTTGCCTCCTTGTCTTAGTCCTTTGAAGATATATCTTCAGAGCTCTGATTAGACACAAGGATAAATCTTCTACATCCTCTGGGCCGAGGATTGTAGATAGCGCTGGTACATTGAACTGTCTATCTGGTTGACCAGGTAGTTGGTTCTTGGCGATGAAGTCCCATCTAAGTCTTAGATGTACTGCCTCATTTCGCCCTGCGTCGAATCTAGTTCGAAGTCCAGGGTCCAGGGCATGTATCTCTGATATTCTTGCTGCTATGGCTAACGCTAGCAGGAACAAAGTCTTTTGTGTCAGCAACTCGAAGGTTGTTGATGTAAAGGTTCGTAGGCATCACTGGTGAGATGACGTAGAGTGACGTTCAGGTCCCAGGCCGGAGCTCTAAACTTCCTCTGCTGGTCTTCCAGTTTAAAAGATCTCAGCAACTCTAGTAGCTGTGGAACTTTTGTCAGTTTGATGCCTGTTATCATGGTGATCACTGAACTGATGGCAGCCAGGTATGTAGATAATGTCGAACCTTTAATGTGTCTCGTCTGTCTAGATGACACAAGTATTCCGCCAGTTGAGGATGAGTCGCTTTTATCGCAGTGAAGTTCTTCCGCCTTGCATAAGGTTCAAACTTCAGCCACTTGTCGTCGTATAGACTGCGAGTTGATCTGCGTAGCGCAAGCGATACTGCTTGGCTGCTCTGGCAGAGTATCCTCTCTTCGTCAAGCATGCTTTGATACGGTCCATACGTGTAACTGGAACACTGCTGGGTTCCCATGTGCTTGCTTGGTGTGCGGATGTACTAGGAGGTTCGGCCACTCTGGTAGTCCACCAGAGTAGATACCTCTTGAGGTTGTCTGGTAGCGAGATGGGATCGACGCTGTCTAGATGTTTTGTCAGGAATCGATGCAACGGCCTCAGTTGTAATCTTCCTGTACGGATTAAGTCTTGTGCCGAGGTTAGTAGACCCAGTAGAACTTGCCATGATCGTAGTGTAAACGGAGAGATGACTGCTTGTGGTATCATGGCTTGTATTTTAACCAAACGATCTTCTGGGATGACAATACGGTTCTCTGTTGTGATGATTCCCAGCAATAGAAGATCTTGTTGATTCTAACTGCAACTTCATCAGGTTAATTAGCCATCCTAGTTGCGTGAGCAACTTAATTGTGAGGTTCAGCTACTGTTAAACTTGATTGGCACTTTGAAGAAAACTGCATGCCGTCGTCCAGATACCCAACACTGCATAGACCTCGATGTTATCGATCGGTGCCGATAGTCTTGATTATTCGTATGAATAATAATCATAAAGCCGACAATATTCCAAACAGTAGGATCTTCCATCGGAAGTGCTAACCTCTGATTGCAGTGATGATACATCATTCTTCCCCTCTATACGGAGGCAATCTGTGTTGATCAGCATACTTGTCTATTTAAGCGTGGTCTATTTATAGCACAGCTGGGTGCAGTGTAGCCTCGCCGGGGACAGGCACTCATGCCGACTTTCCTCAGCAACAACTTCCAAAATAAATCTTGTTTATGCTGCTGTGAAGGGTAGACATCTATCAGATTCCCCCGATGATAACAGGCCGTAGTTGTATACTGTTTACATGGCTGTCGATGAAGTAATCCCCCGTACTGCGTCTTTGTTTACAAGTCAGTAAACTTTCTGCTGCTTGCTCTGTCAGTGGGAGGCGTCGTCTGACGTGGACCAATCAGCTGAGCGTGACGCTCATCAGTCTTGGTTGAGTAAAAGCGGGCGTACCTCTACACCGCTCATATAAACCTCTTGAATAAGGGTTGATCCCGGCGTAAATTCTTGTTCAGTGATATAAATCACCTCTTCCCACTGTAGATAATATAAGCCAGCATGACGAAGTAGGCTGTCGAGATGTATATCTGCAAAACTTGATATATCAGCTTGATAGGTGATATCATCTTGAAGTCACAGTCATCAACATATATGCAGTACGTCTCAGATGGGTTGGAGTGAGTGAGTGAACGACAATTTCCGCAGGCCATCTGCTACCCGGTATATATCTCCGCATCCGTGTAGATGAAGGGATTCTTTCATCAAGTAGGTTGTCGTTTAAAACTGAACCTATATAGGTGTAAGGTTCATACCGGTTGTAGAGTTGAGCAGGCTGCAAAATGTAGAGATCGCACATGTTGTAGATCTTTTTGTTGAGTTTACGTAAACATTCTGCCTGTTGACCTAAGGTTCTTAAACCTTGGATTCGCAAAACCCTGTAGATGTCTGCTTGCTGATATCTGCCTGTAGATCTGAGAGTTCGCGAACCTTGTAGATGTCTGCTTGCTGATATCTGCCTGTAGATCTGAGAGTTCGCGAACCCTGTAGATGTCTGCGTTTGTTTGTCATCATGCATCTGATAGGAGAGGATGTCATCTGTATCTTTAGATGGTGACTGCAGATTCAGGCCGTTAGCTATCCAGCTGTATCTCTGGATCAGGAAACACAAGGTCTTCTTGTTGCTCCTGTAGTGGTTGCTGAATAGAGCTGATACTGCGCTGTTCATCTGCCTGTGAATCTGCATTCCCTCGTGTGCTGTCCTTTCGCGAACCCTTCTCAGATGATTTCCCTCTTTGCAAACCTTTATCTTGGGAAAGATGAGTTAGCGAACCTCTAGATGACTCATCATCCTTTCGCGAACCCTTGTAATGAGAGCTGTACCTTTGCGAACCCTTGTAAGGAGAGCTGTGCCTTCGCGAACCTTCTACCGCCGATTCATTACTTCTTGACTTCGAATAATGAGAGCTGTGCTTTCGCGAACGTCTGCTCTGCAGGCTGCCACTGTAGGATGATCTATGCTCATGCGATGCTCTGTGGTGTGAGCTTTGCGAACCTCTATGATGTGGTGAAAAGCTTCGCGAACGTCTGCGAGATCTAGATCTGGAGCGACTTGAAGATGATGACGTCCAAACTCGTTGCTCTGCTGCATCTGGAGTCTGAAGATCTCTCTGCAGGTGAATGAGGGTTCGCAGAAGTAGATTGTTGAGTGAACGTTCCCGAACGTTATCTCTCACTGCCGATGTCTGCATAGAGGGTTGACTGAGGCCTGTATCTTCACGCTGATCTGAGGGTTCACGAACCCTTCCTGCAGCTAAGAGGCTTCGCCGAGCATGTGCTTCTTCCGCGAACCTCCGCTCCATCATGGACATCATCTGGTTGGTGAACTGCGTCATAAACTTCGCGCAGGCCAGAGGTTTGCGCACGATGTCGGCAGACTGTTGTGTCTTCCTTGATTCTTGCTGGAATCTCTGCTCCATCATAGCCATCATCTTGTTGGTAAACTGCGTCATGAACTCCCCCGGGTTGAAGTTATGCATCTGTTGAATCGGCTGCGATGCTGTTTTCTGTGCCTCAACTTCTGTCCTCGAAGGAAGAGGTCTTATGTCCGACAGCTGGCCTACTGTGACATTCATGAGTGATGATCTGGTAGTAGTATAGGGGGGTCGTCAAACACGTCTTTCTCATGAGGTGGTACAATCTCCTCGTTGAAAGATCTCTGCGTAGCAGCTGTAGCACGTGTAGATTTGCCCTCAGATCTAGTACTCGTAGACTTCCTCTGCGTAGTAGAAGAGGACACCGTCTTCTTCTTAGACTGGGACGGCGTAGGTTGCGAGGTTGACGACCTTTTCTTAGTCCCCTTTGCCGCAGACTGGCCCTGTAATGTACTAGGCAACACATCACTATTATGACCATCAGCCGCAAGTAACATATGGTTTTTAGGCTGATCTCCAGATTTATCACCTGTGACTAGAGATGACTTTATCACCTGATCCATGGCACGTCTATAAACATAAGACAGATATTGATAAAATTGTAAGTCAGTTAAATCAATGCAATAGATACAACGCAAGGTGGATGAACATGGATCTGTACACGATGGACATTGTGGGTGAGGATCAGCCAGAGACAACCTGTGTTTACACACACAGCACAATTTCAAGAGTTGTAAACACGGTTACAACACGATGAAAACACGACTCAAAGTCAATAAATTTCAACAATTTTTTACAAATAATACATCGTAATTATAATCAAAACCATACACAGCTTAATTAAGAAGAATAGGCCTAAGAGTAAACAATAATATTGCCTTATACGGGACTCCAGTGCTTGCCCAACCATCCGCTTGGGCGAAAAGGGAGAGAGTCACAAATAAATAAGGCCACATGACTGGTTTGCGCGGGAGAGGGCAAAGGGAGGTAACTCGTAGGTGAGTATTGTACGTCCGCTTTGGGAACTTCAAGGGATTCAAGTGTTCCACTACCATTCGAAAGGGAAAGGGAGATAAGCAAAGATCATGAGTCAGGATAAGGAAAAATAAGTATTTTTACATGTCTGAGTGCAAAACGCAGTTTTTTACATGAATGACTGAATGCCACTTGCAGAGACAAAGATGCAGTGCAGTATCCAGGCAACAGAACATTTCATGCTACTTTGATACGCAGTGTTACCTGATACTGTGCATTCAGTATGTCTATTTTTTTTCAGCACAACAGTTAAATGTGTAAGTCAGGAATTAAATCCACGTTTCTTTATCTGCTTTCTAAAATCATCTGCTACAGTTGTCATCTTTGTGAAGCCATTTGAAATAAGAACAGTCTAAGTAAACTTAGGCTCAGTATTATTCGTTACACTGCTATACTGAGTCTAACAAAACCTTGTGAAAGGTCGCGTCAGGTAACCTTTCCAATTGACCAATCAGAACACAGCTTACCAAATCGCGAAAGTGGACATTCCCACATACCTTTTGAACATTTACCTCGAAAAAGTTTGTACCAGAACGATTCTGAATGCTTTTTTCCGGACGATCAGTTCCTAGTGATGCATGCCACAGCAGTGAGAAAACATTCGCTGAAAATAGCGCTTTGTCAGTATTAAAGCATGTCAACTAGCAGAAATATTAGCTAATTATAACCATGTCAACAGGAACCTCAAAGGATATATAGTGCAAATATCAGTGTTTTATGCGGATTTTCATTTGTTGGGAGATCGGTGTTGGCGACCGGGGACGAGAAAATCCATTTTGTAAATCCCGCCGGACTCTAAATAGTAGCCGTTGTCTGATTGGTTAAATCCGTTCGGCCATCTCGCCTTTGATTGGATGGTCATAGATCGCTCAAAGGTTACCTGAAGCGACCTTCCACAAGGTTTTGTTCGACTCAGTATAGCAGTGTAACGAATAATACTGAGTCTAAGTTTACTTAGACTGAAATAAGAACAGCAATCTATTTGGATATTTAAATTTTCACAAGGGACACAATTCATGTTGTAAAGGCAGCTGCACCAAGATTAAACCTAACAAGTGTTTGCCACTGATGTGGCAATGTCCCCCGCCACTAAAGAATGGAATATCTATATTTACTACTTTTTATTTTTGGGTCACATACAAGATGCCTGAAATGACTGGTGTCTGCATAATCACCCAATGTAGGCTGTCAACATACTTGAAAACATTGGGTCCAATGTTTTATGAGATATCGCCTTTAAAAAGCGGTCAAAGTATCATGGTGACCTTGAAGATAAGGTCAAAGTCACCCAAATAAACTGGTGTCTGTGTAATACCCCAATGTAAACTGTCACCAAATTTAATGACATTGGGTACAACAGTCCATGAGATAGCGTTAACAAGAGTTGAAAGTGTGAAAGTGTCGTGGTGACCTTGAAAATAAGGTCAAGTCAAAATCAACTGGTGTCTGCGTAATCCACCAATGTAGGCTGTCACCAAATTTGAAGACATTGGGTAACAACAGTCAGACCCGGGTCGATGAGATGCCGTGGTTAAGAAGAGTTTATAAAGTGTGAAAGTGTCGTCGGGTGACCTTTGAAAATAAGGTCAAGGTCACCCAAAATCAACTGGTGTCTGCGTAATCCCCAATGTAGGCTGTCACCAAATTTGAAGACACTGGGTACAACAGTGCATGAGATATCACGTTAACAACAGTTTGAAAAGTGGCCAAAGTGTAGTGGTGACCTTGAAAATAAGGTCAAGGTCACCCAAATCGACTGGTGTCTGCATAATCACCCAATGTAGGCTGTCACCAAATTTGAAGACATTGGGTACAACATTTCATGAGATATCGCGTTAACAAGAATCGGGACGTACGGACGGACGGACGGACACCGCTGAATACATAGTCCCCCGTTCCGCGTTGCGGCGGGGGACAATAATGTACTTGAACTAGATGGCTCTAGATGACACAAAACAAAGGTGGACACTCTTGTCTCAGACAGCTGCAGTCACAAATGAAGCAGTTGCATGTTTCCACATATAGACATACTTCAATATTTCGAAAAGCCTGAAGAGATTCATTACAGTTACAGTACAACCAGAACTTATTGAGAAGTTAAAGATTGTAAGTTTTTATCTTTTTCACTCATTACTGACTGACTGACTGAGTTTAGTTTTACGCCGCTTTGTAGCAATATTCCAGCAATAGAAGGGGAACACCAGAAATGGGCTTCAAAGACAGGTGAACAGTTAGTATTTTGCTACCCCACTCATTACCGTATTAAATGTGAATATTAGCAGAACATAACTCCAGATTCAAAGACAGGTGAACAGTTAGTATTTTGTCAAGTCACCATGGGCAGCAATGTTGGCTTCAATGCGGCGAGTATAATATGGATCAAAGAAGTTAGAAAGTCGTGGTCCATGCTGTCCCAATATCGGACCACCTCTTCTTTCATTTCAGCAATATTTCTCAGATTTTTCTTATTGACACTTTCCTTCATAAGTCCCCAAACATTTTCTATTGGATTTAGGTCTGGGCAACAGCTTGGCCAATCTAATAATGTCATATTTTGGGTCCGAAACCAGGCCTGTGAATGCTTTGAACGATGTTTTGGGTCGTTGTCCTGCTGGAAAATCAAAACATTTCCATAGAACACGTGAGCCGATGGAAGTAAATGTCCCTCGAGAATATCTGTGTACCGCTCAATGTTCATATTCCCTTCAAATACAGTTTTTCAGTTTGTTTGGTCCAGAATTTCAGTGTATTAGGAAACAGCCACACAGAACTTTCATCTGAGAAAATCACATTGTCCCAGTTATAATTTCTATGCTGTAAGCACCAGTTCAACCTTCGCTCCTTTTGTTCAGGTTTCATGATCGGTGATGGAATTCCTCGACTTTTCTGCCAACCCATTGCATGCAGCTCAGTTCTAATTGTCTCCTTACAGACAGCCACAGTTCCTCTATCAATCATATCTAGCCTTAAGTTTTCTAAACTCCTTCGTTTGTTTTTAGAAACAAGAATACCAAGCCGCCTCCTGTCACCAACAGTCAATTTTCTGGGCCTACCTGCACCTCTCTGGTGCTCAATGCCATATCCATTTGCAATATTTTTCAAAACACGATAAACAATGGACAAGGGGATGCCTTTCTACTTGAAATCACTTTAGCTGATCTGATGTCCTTGTTATAATACTCTAAAATAAACTTCCTCTTCTCTAAATCATCCATACTGAGGATCACTGAAAATGCCGTCTGCTAGCAAGTAAACACGGGGATAACTCTTCACAAACTAATGAAAAAGGATTAACGGAGTTGTCTCTCTTGAATGAAACCAAGCACTTGATAGCTGGTGAAGGTTGTTTAGACTAGAAATCCAATAAAACATATTCCTAAAATTCTCAATAATTTCTGGTCATACTATAGTTGTAATGGAAAAGAATGCGTAACATTTGTTACTGACACTTAAAACTGTATGGCATCAAAGTGGGGTCAGATACTATCTAGCAAGAACTTGTTTACATGCTAAATTCAAGTCTTGTGATTGTACATCACTCCCCAGTACTGACAGTAAAGAGGACATGCTTCAGAACTGTAATAGATTTAGTGGATATTTCCATAGGTGCATGTGATTGAGTCCCTGTGTCAAGTGACTGTGATAACCTACATGAGATGAGAATGGTATGGCAGCACTTCCCGACACATTGACAATAGCTGGATCAGTGAGGTGGCGCTCCTCCTCTTCATCCAGCACCAGGTGGTTGATGCTCTGTTCCATGATCTCCTGTTGACCCAAAATACCAGATTTTACACAGAACATCATCATAATCAGGTACTTGCAATAACAGAAGACCCCTGACCACCACTTCAGAAGGCCCCAGAAATCATAACGATCATGCACGTCAAGCCTGATACAATTACCTTTATTAACAGGAAACATGCCTACTAATTACTGAATATAGACTGTACCTTTACCTACAGCAATGAAGAACATAAATGCATTGTTGGGTCAGATACTATCTAGCAAGAACTTGTTTACATGCTAAATTCAAGTCTTGTGATTGTACATCACTCCCCAGTACTGACAGTAAAGAGGACATGCTTCAGAACTGTAATAGATTTAGTGGATATTTCCATAGGTGCATGTGATTGAGTCCCTGTGTCAAGTGACTGTGATAACCTACATGAGATGAGAATGGTATGGCAGCACTTCCCGACACATTGACAATAGCTGGATCAGTGAGGTGGCGCTCCTCTTCTTCATCCAGCACCAGGTGGTTGATGCTCTGTTCCATGATCTCCTGTTGACCCAAAATACCAGATTTTACACAGAACATCATCATAATCAGGTACTTGCAATAACAGAAGACCCCTGACCACCACTTCAGAAGGCCCCAGAAATCATAACGATCATGCACGTCAAGCCTGATACAATTACCTTCATTAACAGGAAACATGCCTACTAATTACTGAATATAGACTGTACCTTTACCTACAGCAATGAAGAACATAAATGCATTGTTGGGCAACATACTTCTTAAGCATGCACGGTCACTCTGAAACGATTTCCCATGACCCTGGCTACCTCATGACCTTGATCCTCAATGTCAATCAATTGCATTAGGATGAGCTTCCAGTGACCTTGAAGGTCACTCAAACCCAACAATATGCTTGATCATAAAGGTTTTATGTCGGAAAGTATTACGGGAATCAGCTTCTTTATTATACATCCATCATGTTTCAAGGCTATCTCTTGTACATTATCAGGTCAATCATTCAGTATCCCTTAATTGTGTATGTTTAGTAAAGAGGTTGTTCATAATTACATCAAACTTCCAAAGGCTAAAAAAGATCAAGAATGACACGAACCAACCGTTGGACCACAGGAGACACATTCAAATTATAGTCAAAGAGTTCCGAGTCTGGGTGGGGTCAGATACTATCTAGCAAGAACTTGTTTACATGTGAGATTCAAGTCTTGTAATTGTACATCACTCCCCAGTTGTCAAGGATAACTGCATGGTGGTAAGAAGCAACCATATATATCGTACCTCTTGAAGTCTGTAGCTCTTTTCAGCTGTGTCAAAGCCTGAATCCCTGGTTCGATTACCATTTTGCCTTGAATCATTAAACGAGTGGGCCTCCAATTCTTCAGCAAATCTTTCATGTTGTTTTTCCCAATCAAACTCAGCTGAAAGAAAAGTCAGTGATGATTCACAGAACCCTTAAAAACAGGCTAAGCTTGAACATGATTTCCATAAAATAATTACATGGGGGATTTCTGCAGGGAAACAGCAAATGAGGCATGATCATGATTAGTGTATCTCTCAAAACATTTTTGCAAGCACACATGGTTTATACAGCTTTTCAGGGCAGATTTTAATGTAATACCTCTTCAAGGCAGGTTCAATGTAATACCTTTTCATGGCAACATTGCAATTCCAAACCTGTGTAAACCTTGTTTAAAACCACAATGCAACTCAGTCTAACATTAAATATGTACAAAACCACATAACCATGGCAAGTTCAGTCAGAGGTACAGATAAGCTGCGTATCTGGATAAATTATGCAAATATTTATGTGAAAAGTCAATTCCTATTAAGTCTATTGCGTACAAGTACGCTTGAACTTTTGTAAATACTCAATGTGATCTTACATGCGTACACAAATGTCAAATCTTTGCTTGCGTACCGGTGGATAGATAAAATAACTGAGGTATATTGAGATTCTATTTCAGGACATGAACTTAGAAACTTGCAGTCTTTCTTATCGTTTCTCATCACAGATCAAACATAAATAACAAACACTAACATTTAAACTTTATTATTATGTTTTCAAAATTAATGGAAAATGGCAAAATACCCAACTGACTTTGAGTGAGGGGAGTACAATTTATTTGGTTACTGAAAGGAAAATTAGGATATCCAATTGGAATGAACACAAGTGAGTACATAACTCAATGACCCTAAAAGTTATCTGTAGCTATGTCAGTGCAAAAGTCACTCACTTATTGCATGAGTGACACAAACTCATGTCAAATTACAGCAACAGGTCTTCTAAGTATGCATGAGATGAAACTTCAATACATCAGTTGGACTGTAATATTTGTATCACAATTAGAATGTATTTACTGGAGTAGGTTTAATAATGATGGAGCACTCTTCAGATTCTCAATGGCCCACTTCCTTGCAGTCAACAGAGACATGTGAGCCATGGCCAAAATTACTATGAACAAGAATGAACACCTTAAGTGAAGTACATACTGTCTCCAATATCCCCAAATGTCTCTTCATTTAGTACATCAAAGTCGTCTTCATCTTCTGGGGCCTCCATCAGCTCGTTGTCTATCTGGTTAAGCTTCCCTGCCCCAAGGGCCTGCAAACAAACAGTGACCAAGTCAAAGTCATAAAACTCAGCACATCCTATTAGTATTACATACATATTACATACACAATAAATATTACAATTGTTACAATTAGGGATGTCATCAATCATGTAAGCAGAACAGGGAGGAAAAACTTGATTTTTTCCCATATCACCGTTTGATGGTAATTTATTTTTTAATTTAACGCAATCAGATTTATTTGATATTTTAATGGGGACAGTGAGGTAGCCGAGAGGATCAAGTGTTCACTCATCATGCAGAAACATTGAATTCCATTCCCCACACGAGTGCTGTGCGTGAAGCCCATGTCTGGTGTCCCTGCTGTGATACTGCTCAGATCATACTCACACACTGTTTTTTAGTCTCCCTCTCACCAATATTTCTATTTGAATCCAGCCTCACAATAATGGAACCTCGACCAGTCAAGCCAGTCATAGAAATTGTCAGGCAATGATGACACACAAGCAAACAAGTCACAGAAGCTGAAAACCTGACTCATAAGACAGAGCCTATTCAAAATAAGAATTCCCACAAAACAACAACACACAGATTTGCATGTGAAGCATCATGAAGGTAAAAAAAAATTAAATTGGGGATCTGCCAAAACTTTGTTCATGAGCATATGAGCAACTGCAAAGTCATGCAACTATTAACATAAGCACACGAACACCTGGAATACTGTGTACAGCGACATCATTTGCACCAAACATGTACAACAGAAGCAAGCAGTCTGATTGTGAATGATATTTGTCAAGATTTCAAAGATGTCTGCGGTGTCAAGTGAGTAGAGTACTGCCTAATGCACAATAAGTAACCGGTTTGCTCAGCAACAGGGCTCCAGATACTATTTCATGATCAGAGCACGTACTCCTTATTTATTCAATATAGGAGTAGTGGAAAACCTTAAGAGTACAATTAGAGTACTGAATGGAAATTAATGGCGTATCAGTAATCTTGTGTTTCGTTTCATATATGCACCACAACATTGCTACTCTTGTGTAAACAGGTCAATAAACAATAAAACAATACTTTTTTCAGATAAATACGTCTGTAAATGATTCTAAGACCGTACACAATTGCTGTGGTACGTATCTGCTACGCTTTCTAAATTATTTTCTACCGTATCTTGCATATTTTTTATCCGTACATACGCCGATACGACCCTTATCTGGAGCCCTGCAGCAACATATCAAGATAAATGCTTGTGTACCGACATTTGTGTTTGGAATTGGTTAAAATCTCACAATTGATGATTGGCTCATTACAACCGATCAATCATCGAGAATAATTGATTAGGGTCATTTATCAAATTCTCCTGGTTATGTTTGTTAACATGGTTAATGAACAAAAAAACACAGGGGTGGAAATAACTTTAAAATTGCTAGTGTACTCCGGTACAGTGGCACATGTAAAATCCCTTGCCCTGATCATTTTTCCACTATACCGGCCGATTTTCTTGTTGATTTTTAAATAAACAACATAATTAACATTTGAAAGTCAACTGGACACCGGTACAGCGTGATATACAAATTTGCTTGTCCGACACAAAAAACACTGGACTGGGGTGTCGGGCAATGGGTTATTTCCACCCCTGAAACATAGAAGAACCATATAGTGCCTTTGGGTTTTTTGTTGCAAATTGCACAAAAAGCATTTACAAATTTCACATGTTTAAAGGATGACTAGTATGTTAGGAACATAAATTTCCTGGGGTCTTAAAGATAAATTCAATTATGACAAGGAACGAGATTATGAGAAAACATTATCGGTTGCTTGGCCTTTTAGTCATTGCGAGCAATCTTCGATTATTTCAATTAATCGGACCACCACTAATCATCACGAATGTTTGTAACGTCCTAATAACACAAAAAGAATGTAATTTGACTCATGATCTTTTGCTTTCTCCCTTTCCTTTGAGAATGGTAGTGGAACACTTAAAGCCTTGAAGTTCCCGAAGCGGACATAAAAATACACTCACCCACGAGTTACCTTCCTTTTGCCCTTTTCCGCGCAAACAGTATAGTGACCAGCCTTACTTGTCACTCTCTCCTGAGTTTTCTGCCCATGCACTTGGATCTGCTGTGAAATCTGAAGTGTTTCCAGCGGGGTGGTTGGGAGGGCTTCTCGTCATGAGTCAGGATAAGTATAAAAATATCAATTTGACTTAAAAAATTACATATTTTTTCTATCCTGACTCATGATCTTTTGCTTATAGAATCCAACGGATTGGTGGTGGGTCAAGCCACTTTGTGGATTCATCAGCTGTCCTTAGATACGTCCTGTATCCTTAATTGTGAAGTTCAGATGCTGTCTGAGTTGATTGGCACTTTGAAGAACCTGTATGCCGTCGTCCAGATAACCGGCACTGCGTAGACCTCGATGCTGCAGATAGGTGCCGATAGGCTTGGTTATTCAGATGAATAATCAGAGCCAATGATATTCCAAACAGTAGGATGTTCCATTGGAAGTGCTAACCTCTGATTGCAGTGATGATACATCATTCTTCCCCTTACGCAGGCGATCTGTGTTGATCAGCATACATCGAAGAGTTGTCTATTTATAGCAAGGCTGGCTCCAGTGTAGCATCACAGGGGACAGGTACTCATACCGACTTTCATCAGCGACAACTTCCAAAATATACATCGTTTTATGCTGCTGTCATGGCTAGACATCTATTAGATTCCCATGATGATAACAGGCCGTAGTTGTATACTGTTTCCAAGGCTGCCGATGAAGTATTTCCCCGTACCACGGGTTTGTTTACAAGTCAGTAAACTTGCTGGTGCCTGCTCTGTCAGTGGGAGGCGTTGCCTGACATGAACCAATCAGCTTCAAGCATGACATCACCGGTGTTGTGGCAAGTTGGCCTACATAAAATCTGGTGCAATTAGTTGGTTGAGTAAAAGCGCTCGTAATACTACACCGCTCATATAAACCTCTTGAATAAGGGTTGCTCCAAGTGTAAAATCTTGTTCAGTGATATAAATCATGTATTCCCATTGTTGATAATATAAACCAGCATGACGAAGGAGGCTGTCGAGACATATGTCTGTATGGATCTTGAAGAAATACCGATGTTGAATCTATTTGATAAGATATAAAATCATAATCCCCACGCTGTGTGACGAGTGTTAATAATATCATCTGTACGTCCGTTCAAGGATTCCTGAAGGCGTTGGTAACCTTCAGCCCTTTACAAAGGTCGCCTTGGGGTTCTCCAGTACTTGAGATATCGGTGATATCATATTGGAGTCGAAGTCATCAGCGTATATGCAGTACGTCACTGTTGGGTTGGAGGAGTAAGTGAAAGACAATATCCGCAGGCCATCTGCTACCCGGTATAAGACCTCAGCATCCTTGTAGATGAAGGGATGTAGATGTCGTCCGAAACTGAACCTATTACAGGTGTAAGGTTCGTGCAGGTTGTAGAGTTGTGCAGGCTGTAAACTGTAGAGATCGCACATGTAGATCTTTTTGTTGAGTTATAAACTCTGACAAAACCATCCGTTTTCATCATTGCTTCGTTTTATCCAGCCGTATGGTAATAGAGTCGACGTCACCATCCTGTCTGTTGATGTAAGGGTTCGTTAACCCTAGGGTTCGCGACCCTGTAGATGTCTGCGTTGCTATTATCTGCCTGTAGATCTAAGAGTTCTTGAACCTTGTAGATGTCTGCAGCTTTCTCAAAGCTGTGCGTAGGTTAGAAGGTATCTTGGATATAGGTTCAATCTGAGGAATAGTCACCGAGTCAAAGTCGTCATTATGCATCTCATAAGTGTAGACTTCATCTATTAGAAGGAGACTCCAAGTTCAAACCATTGGCTATCCAAGCTGTAACCTCTGAGTCCGGGAAGACGAAGTCTGGTTGTTCATCAATTATCTCCTGATCGGTAGAGCTATGCCTCCGCGAATCATCCTTCTGCGAACCTGTATCCCTTCTCGAACCTCCATCATCCCTTTGCGAACCTCTGTCTGAAGATTCCTCCCTTCGCGAACCTCTATATGTGGATTCATCTCTTCGTGAACCTCTATGACGTGAGCTTCTCTTCGCGAACCTGTCTCTAGATGTATCCCTTCGCGAACCTTGAGATATGAGATCTCGATCTTGAGCGGCTGGATCCTTCGATGTTCTCTAACGTTGAGGGTTCTCAGATGTAGAACGGTGAGTAGGCATCTCATGTCTTCTATCCTCCTCCAAGATGACAGAGTCGTCCGACTGTGGAGACCTTCGCAAAGGTGTACGCTCGCCAACTTAGTCTTGAGACGTAGTTCTATGAGGAGTAGGTTCGCGCAGGTCCGTAGGTTTGCACACGATGTCAGTAGATGAGAGGCTTCGCCGAGCCATTGCTTCTTCCTCGAACCTACGTTCCATCATGGCCATCATCTGGTTGGTGAATTGTCTCATAACTTCACCCGGATTAAAGTTCTGCGTTGATTGAAGCTGCTGCGGTGTAGATGAAGCGTTCACGAACGCTGATCAGTTGTGTGTCTCGACTTCACTCCGTTGAGAAGTTGGTGGTAGTTCGTCAAACAGCTGGCCTGCTGTGACAGTTGCAGGAGACGATGTAGTAGTCGTGGAAGTCAATTGAGTTGCCAATCTCGTAGGTACTTCGGGTAGAAGTAACGGGGGATCATCAAAAACATCTACTTCATGCGGAGGTAATATCTCTTCGTTGAAGGATTTCTGATGCGTTGACTTACTAGGCCGTGTAGATTTACCCTCCGATCTGGTAACAGATGCTTTCTTCTGCGACGCAGAAGACAACGACGTCTTTTTCTTAGCTTGAGTCGGAGTCAACTGCATTGTAGCCGCTTTCTTCTTGACCCCCGTACCAGCAGACTGCCCCTGCAACGTACTCAACATAGCACCAGTATTATGAACTTCAGCAGTAGCAAGCAACATACGGTTTGCAGGCTGATCTCCTGTTTTATTGGCCATGACTTGTGATGACTTCCTCAGCCGATCCATGGTACATCTATAGATATCAGACAAATACTGATTAAATTGTAGATTTGATAAATCAACACAATAAGTACAGTGCAAGCTGGAAGAACATGGTTTGATGCACAAAGGCATTGGGTGTGAGGATCAGCCACGGATAACCTGTGCCTGCAAACACTGCAAGATTTCATGAAATGTAAACAAGTTACATCACGAAGAAATGACACAAATACAAATAATTTTTTCGAAATTTTTACATATAATACAATGTAGTTATAGCCAAATCCATACACAACGTAATTTTGAAGAATAGGGCCTAAACAAAAAAGGATATAATGCCGTATACGGGACTCCAGTGCTCGCCCAACCATCCACATGGGCGAAAAGGGAGTGACAAGTAAGGCTGGTCACATGACTGTTTGTGCGGGAAAGGGCAAAAGGGAGGTAACTTGTGGGTGTGTATTTTTACGTCTGCTTCAGGAACTTCAAGGGATTCAAGTGTTCCACTACCATTGGCAAAGGAAAGGGAGATAAGCAAAAGATCATGAGTCAGGATAAGAAAAAATAAATATGTTTAAACAAGAATAAAAGTCTGCCATATCCCCAGTCTGTCTGATAATGAACAGAATGATGTGCAGGGAAATGTGACATTGTATAAAAAAACCTGCTTTCCACAGCTGCTTGTGGAAGAGGTTGAAATCATAACATACAGTCTTGCCTCGTTGTAAAGCTCAGTACAAATATCTGCTTTAGTAAGACTGCTAAACAAAGTTTCAAATAATCTATGTGAAGGCTTAGACTGCTGTGTATCTTTGTGTACAGCACCATATGAATATCATGAATTCTACAATGTAGCATTGCACGCCTACCCTTTAAGGTTAACTACTCAAGTAAGGTATAATGTAAGGCTGTAACGATTCACTTGCATATTCGGTAAATCGAACCGTAGCCCTTAATGAATTCAATTCGTTAATCATGGTCATAAGAACCGAATATTCATGAATATTTACAATTTTTATAAGGGAGTGTGTTTTACTTGAACCCTATGTCCTTTTTCAAAACGGGATATGCAAGAATGCAATATGTACTAGCCTTGTAGTAGCCCAAGTCATGTTAGTTTGCCAAGGCTGCACATGTTACTGTCAACTGTAACTATTACATACAAAATTTGAGTGTCATGAGATGACTGGTTATTGCTGAGACAAATTAACACTGTCAACATTGGCATTCAATATTGTGCATCAATCATTTAACTACAATATTGTATTCATGAATAATTATTCGTATTCGTTACCTAATATTCATGATACGTATCATACTCGCAACATAGTGTATTCATTACAGCCCTAGTATAATGTGCAAGAATTGTGAGCTTGCTTGCTTGCCTTTCAAAATCTTTTGAACTTCTGATACATCTGCTATGAATGCTTTCCTCTTTTAGCCCTGTTTGTTGCAGTGTCTACTGGTGTGTCAGTTACAACAATCAATACAGAGATGAACTGGGCAAAGAAGTGAAAACTTCATTATTCATGATTTATGACTAAATCCCTTCAAAACAATTTTTTAAGGGATTTTCACGTTTAATTATGAGACACAAAAATGGCAATATCAGGGATGGCAACAGGAAGATCTATATTCAGCTGAAAACTTAATATTGTTTAATCGAACGGGGGCTTTGAATTGATAAATTTGAAGTAAAATTGGCAGAAATCTGCAGAAAATTGCCATCCCTGCAATATATATGAGCCGACTTTGTTTCTCAGTGCTGTAAATTAGCTCTGACAAAAACATATTACTTACTGAACCCAAACCATCACACAGCACCAGGTCAGAACTAGACCTAACCATGGTAACTTGTTACCAATTTTTGCAAAGAAATATTTTATGGTTTTCAATATCTGCTCCAGGAACGAGCACTAACTATTTAAAGCCTACAACAAAGTTATTATCATGAAAGCTTAAAAAATGAATTTTTCAAAAAATCCCAATGCATCAAAGGGCACCAGTTAAACACCAGACCTATCCCTGTGTAACATTTGGTGAAGAAATATTGTATGTTTTACAAGACTTTATTAGACAGGGAATAAGAATACATCTGGACATTACTCCCAGTTTGTCTACTCTTTGAAGACACTCAGGTCCAGAGTTATTAAATTTGCTTGAGAGATTTAAAAACTAAAAAAAAAAAACAAAACAACAACAATACATCTGGACTTGGACAGTTACAAAGAAATCAAGTGATCAGTAAAGTGAAAAGGCTATGTCAGGCCCAGACGGACAGATTTCCGACCGTGACCTTCATTTTTTATCATTCTATGCCTAAGAATTGATGTTATTTTATGAACCCTACCCCTAAACCTCGTAATAATCCTAATAAAGAGAATACATTTCAAGCAGTGGTTATGGGCAGAACTCTTGCCGCCCAGATTGATTGTCATTTTAAACTTTATGATTCACAAAAATGCCCCATTACCGTTTGTATTCAACAAAAATCACTGCATTCATTATCCGATGACAAAGGGAAAAACAAAGTTGTACAGTACAATTTTGGTGACAAACTTCATGTGCAGACTAACGTACAATTTGTGAAAGAAATAACATGGAAACTAAAGCAAATACCATGTTTATGTTTCCTCTACACATATGCAAGTACATGTACTATTGTATAATACTAATCTGAATTTACACTTAACAAATTCGCATGTCTGAATCAGGTGTAAATGAAACATGCCATTTCCCCCTGCATGGATATGTTGTCATGTTATGGTTCAAGCCAAAGCCAGAGGATGATCCAGTTTTTATATAACTTCTGATTTTCTAACACTGAACAAATTGGCAAAACTAATACATTCTGAAGTTGACGTTATTCAGTATACAGCAACATATCTGTGATGCAGACATCCCTACATGAGTGGACAGTGTTTTCTGTGGGTGCCAAGAAGTTAACTATTTGTACACTGGTTAAATTCAGTACATGTTGCTTCATGATCCATACAACTAATAAATATGTGTGATTTATACCATTTCCACACCTTAGTTAATTTTCATGTGAATACAATGTCGATTTGCATATATTCACTTGTATAACTTCACTTGATGTTGTGAAAATTCATGATGCGAGTAAATGATGACAACATCAACCCCAAGTTATATAATCTTATTTCTTGAGGGTACTTAGGGACCGTTCATAATTTATGGCTAGGGGGCGATGATGATTTTAACGGGAGGGGGGGTTGTCACCCATTCTGTTCTGGGGGTGTAGGGGGGTCAGCAATTTTGTACACATGTACTAGGAGGGTCAGGAATTTTGTCCATAAAGATATTAAGAAGTTATGCTTAAAAATTATGGGTAGGGAGGGTCATTGAGTTTGTACATGATATGCAAGGGGGTCACTTACTTTGTACATAAATTGTATCAGGGCTCATACACATTGTACATGCTTCTGCATAAAAATCATCATCACCACCCCAACCCCCTTGCCATAATTTATTAAGTCCCTTAGGCGATTCACTTTTCAGGCTAACTGAATATGTGTCTGCAGTGAAGTTAACGACAATGTTACATCATTCTTAGAATCATATTAAGTGTCATTGTGTACATGGACCGAACGTTTAACTCCATTCCATCTGATTCAGTAGCAGTGTCTTTTGAGGCAAATTTTGAGTATTGCGTCGAGATTTCCTTTCCCAAATGCAGAGCAATTGAAGTTCCTCAATCATGTACAACCAAACGTCATGTTGGGAAAGTGTTCCTTCCGTTCCCCCAACCCCAAACCTAACCCTAAACCTAACTTAAATTTGGGACTTTTAGTCATTTTGTGAGTTCTCTAGTAATTGTTGTGTTAAGTTTTGTGAATAATTTTAGTATATTTGTAAATATTATATGGGATAGGGGAAGGGGAGGAACTCTTACCCTGTGTTGCACTAACATATTCTGGAATAATAATTGTTGTAACACTCTACTAGTGCCCTTTCCAACAATCTCTATTCGTTTTATTTTGAAAACGTGGGCAAGGTGTCAGTAGTTACGAAACAAATTTTGAAAATTCCAAACAGTAAGAAATATAACATAATATCAGCACTTCAATATACACCAATGTAGGTTTTACTAATATTTTACCAAACTAACTCTAATGTAACTGGCATACAACACTTACAGAGAAGCCTGAACCGAAAGCAACATGCGGATCAGCCATTTCAAGTCATTTTCACATTGTACCTACATAGACTCGAACCCATCTTCGCAATAACCATTTTTCCATAGAAATATTTTTATTCAAATGATATGTGTAGATACAGAAGCCATAAATATTACCTTATTGGTGTGAGCCATTATTTATTATCAAATGAATGTGCAATACAAACTAAATAAATATATGTGTTAGAGACTATGGGCACTTCGTTCGATTTTCCGCCATATTTCGTCAAAGAACGGAAATGACCGAGGTCACTCCAAAATTTATGTTGTTTCAGCTATTCGTCCACTTTTATCGGTATTGAATGTAAGAAAAATGTTCTATTAATGTTGTTCTTTGCACAAGCACCACCAAGATGTGTGCAAAACCGTTTTGATTGACCGTTTTCGACCACAATGTCCGAAGTCGATATTTCCGAGGAACTACCGAATACTGACGATTCGGCCTTCGCCGAAGATCAACAACAAAATGGCGAAGGCGGCAACGATAACCACGCTGGTACCACAACAATATCAGCACCTCATGGCGCAATAGCGGCTGATCACGTATTCGTTGCAACATCCCAAGGTCTTCTTACAGCAGAACAGCTGCAAGAGGCAGCTGGCATCAAAACGACACATATTGTCATTCACGATCAAACATTGAATGTGGATTCCTCACCGACCGAGTTGAAGACTCCCACCACCCCTCTCCCCCCTCCAACCCCAGCCACGCCTCAAAGCAAGGAAAGGGGCTTTAGATATCAGTGGGACAGTTCAGTGCATTCAGAAGTTTTGCCAGTTAGATGCAAGAACACAAACGGAGAACTGCACAAAGCAAAGTTTGGATCAGGTACATATCAACTTGGAGAACTTGTGTAAACCACCCCTGCAGGAAAGGGATCTTAGGTGATCTCAGATAACCCAGTTACATAAAAAACTTGGGGTGAAAGCTATTGTTAGTCAAACATATGGAGTATTTTAAATATTTTGTACTTGCCATTGTAGCAATTTACCACATTAGGAAGTACAGTCTGGTGGTGCTGGGTGATTTGCAGTAAGATTGCATGGATTTGGATCCTCATCGGTCAACCTAACTGTCATTGTCAATATGTCAGAACCTCTTCCCCCCCTTGGGGCGGTGGGATAGCCTAGTGGTTAAAGCGTTGGCTCGTCACGCCGAAGACCCGGGTTCGATTCCCCACATGGGCACAATGTGTTAAGCCCATTTCTGGTGTCCCCTGCCGTGATATTGCTGGAATATTGCTAAAAGCGGCGTAAAACTAAACTCAGTCAGTCAGTCAGTCTTCCCCCCCTTGATTACACACGGGCAGTTAATTTACAGGTGGCACAGTTACAGCGCTACAGCGTTACCTCTCTCTCCATATACCCAAGCTTTTGCTTGATTGGACTCTCATGTCGAAGATGGTCCCTCTATGGTTCTGCAAAGTTGACGCACTTTTACTATCCACCACCCCTTTTCAATCTTTCTGGAACTGACATTGATTTCTTGCCAAACACTCCTTTTCAATCCCAAGGGAAGTGATTTGCCTTTACCTGTCAAACGCCCCTTTTTGATCCCGAGGTTTAGCCTGTGTGGTCGCAGTGTTATCTCAATGTTAACCACAGCACTGCTCATTTTAATGGTCAAAGTGTCTAAGATATGGTTTCCAAAGTGAGCAAATTTCGAAAGCTGGGCATAAGAGCCAAGAATAACTATAGCTTACAGCCAGGGATTGGGAAAGGCATAGGCAATTTTGCACATTAGAATAAAAAATGGCCCATTAAGATTTTGAAGTTTACTATTGATACAAGGGCAGTAGCCCATTCTAAATTCAGAAAATGGCTAATAATCCTGAAAATAGCCCATTGTCAAAGTTGTCTTTCCGAGTCCTGTTTATAAGGCAAGTTATGATGGGGAAATATGTTAATAGATGACAGATTTAATCAAGAGTGATCACTGAAAGTGCCCAATGAAATTAAATCATCAAAAGCAACGGCTGAACTTTGATATTATTATCTCCCTGCTTAAAGTGACTTCAGACAATGATTGAGGATAGTAAAGGCTTCCCCCAAATAGCTTTTGTATGCAATTTTTAGAGTATTGAAAGGCCCCATTGACAACAAAATTTACAGGCACAGTCTGCGACTTTTATCCTGAAACTAAGTCTATCAAAATGTCTTCTGGTCCAGTAAGATCACATTACTCTGATCCCTAAACTAAGACTATAATATATTGAATATTATGCCAAAAGACATTTTCAGGCTAGTAAACTAGTAAACTCAAAAAAGATTTGGCACTGACCATGCAGACTGTAAAAGTGGTTAGTGAATGTTTGACATGAAGAGCAGTGAGCAACTGAAAGTTGGAAGAGGATAAGTTAAAGAAAGCAATTTAAATTTTTAAATGTTACTGTTTGTTTTATTTGCTGTCATGGCTTAAACTTTATTATGTTTATGTCCATGGTATTTCATTAGACGAAACTTTAACAGTGATCATTAAAGCCAGAAGTCTGCCGTTGTATGAAGGTATGCGACAGTCTCATACCTTTCAAGGTGTTTAAGCTGAAGAATAGGTCCAAACCTCCGTAATCATCATAATAGTGACAACAATCCATTCTGATCCCTTGCCGAAGTCATGAAAATGACAACACTGAAAGATGGCAGGTTATACTTTCTTGTTAATATTCTATATATTGTTAATTGTAAAACCATATTTTACCAGCAGAGCAGGGCAAAAGTGACTGCAAAAGAATTTCTTCCATTGTTAGTAACATAAGAGCGATTCAGTATATGTATGTGGACATAAGTATGTAAGGTTGTCCAGGTGAATAGAAACTAGGCAACATGATTGATGATTAGTTAGCCAGGTGAGGAGTATGTCAGCTCAACTGTGTCAATTCATTTTGTGTTCTAGGTGGGAGAGGGAAGTGTATCAGGACCCCAGAGAATCAGTGGTTTACCCCCAATGAGTTTGAGTCTATGAGTGGTAGAGCCAGCAGCAAAGACTGGAAGCGCAGTATACGATACGGTGGTAGAACATTACAGTGTTTGATTGAAGACGGCATCCTTCAGCCCCATGCTACCTCCTGTACATGTGCTGCATGCTGTGATGATGAGTCAGTGGTGAGTTTAAACACAGTCTCTCTTGTCATGTGACCTTCAGATGTTTTGGGGCCCGTGAAGATCCGGGGTAGAATAGGTCTTCAGCAACCCATGCTTGCCACAAAAGGCGACTATGCTTGTCGTAAGATGCGACTAACTGGATCGGGTGGTCAGGCTCGCTGACTTGGTTGACAAATGTCATCGGTTCCCAATTGCTCAGATCGATGCTCATGCTGTTGATCACTGAATTGTCTGGTCCAGACTCAATTATTTACAGACCGCCGCCATATAGTTGGAATATTGCTGAGTGCGCGGCTTAAAACTAAACTCACTCACTCACTCAGATGTTTTGGAAGACATATTCATGAATCAGATCATTTTCCTTCATGAATTTAATTCATTATTTGCAGTCATGTGAATTGAATGAATTTATTAGGAGTTTTATACTTGAATTTGTTATTTATGAAAGTGAGATGAGTGAAATGGAATATATCCAACCCAGGCAGCATAATGGTCACCACAGATAAATATTTGAATTATTTTATGGACAGTAATGTGGTAATTGGTCACTTTTGTGACAAATGAACACTGTCAATAGTCAAAACATGTCTGATAATATACTTGGTCATCATTTGATCGAATATAATGAGTAAAACATCAACTGGTGATGTGTTGTGGTGTTCGGGGAAAATATTCATAATTGTAACCCTGTAATCATGGCATGTATAATATTTTATTTGTATTAGTGGGTTCGTTGCTGCCCTAGCATTTAGAAGTGATACATACACCCAGGCAAAATTTATGTGTTGGCTCAATTTATTGTTAATATGTCAATAAACATCATATAAACCTGGAAACTTGAGAGCTGGATTTCCTGAACACTATCATGATTAGTGTTGGGAATTGGTTGAAATCTCACAATTGATGATTGCTTCATTTCCAATGAACAATCATCGAAAAAAATTGGTTGGCGTCATTTTTCAGATTTTCCTATCCAGGTTGTTATTGCAGATATGTATAACATGATGCAACTTGCTACTTTAAAGTGATGACTAATATATCATGAACATAAACTTCCCGGAGTCTTCAAGAAATATTCAGTCATGGCTTTTCAGTTAGTGAAGCGAGTTTTCTAAGAATTAAACACGTTTTCAGGCCCTGACAACTTCAACAATATGTTCCAGTGCAAGTATTTCAAAGACTAAAACAGTAGTTCCAAAATCGTTTATGTGCGATTATGACAAAATGTGATCGATTGCTTGGTCGTTTGGTCACTGCGATCAATCTTCGATTATTTCAATTAATCGGAACACCACTAATCATGACTGCAAGAATTGTTATGGTTTATTTGTCCTGGACTCTTAAACTAACACAGAAACGGTGCGATCATCCAAAACAGGATTTACTGTCAGGTGCACTGGCATTCAAAATTGGAGTGCCTATGTTAAGCTGTGAGATTGAGAGTGCCAGATTGATGAGGTGCAAATATCGGTTGTGAAATGTAAAAATTTATGGCATTGTCCATTAAATGAATAATGGTGAGAATTATTTGTATAATTTTAGGCATGCCCCAATTGCATTGTGAAAATATATCATCTGTGTCATTTCAACATTTACCATGCAATGGCACTCAAATTAAGCACTATGTCAGTCACTGACGTATTTAGGCTCACTGCTTCCGAGCTTTCATGAAGGACTAAGAATATACTATGAAACATAGTGTTTCTCATCATTCTCACAATACAGAAGTTAGCATCAATAAGTTTAAGCACTTTATGTCAAAGGACATCCCTCAAATATATTTTTTTAAGAACAGCTGACTTCAGTGTTAAGTCAAAGAAAAGCAAAAGGAGCAAAAGTTCTTTGGCACTTTGTGTCTTTCCCTCCCTCCCTTTCTTTCTTAAGTCATAATGGATGATAACACAGACTTAAAAAACAAACATTTCAATCAGTAAAAGCTTTTGAGAAGCATGCATCAATTGTTTTCTCTGTCATGTTAGTGCATACATGCTATGATTGTGACAAGGTCATATATGGATATTAGCATAACATGATCAAACTAGAGATAGAGCTATTTCTGTAAATAGTTAATCATCACAATCATGGGGCATAATAATTGTTACATTTGATAGAGGGTACGCATACTATTGGTATACAGGAGCCCAAACAAGATCCCCATCACCATGATCACTTGAGTGAAAAACTGCCTACATTTAAATCTTTGGGATGTTGAACGTCAACCAGTATGAGCAGTCCGACCGTAAGCTAATCAGGCTGTTAGGTATACTGGAAGCTGGAAGGATCTATCAGTATATTAGCATTTCTACAGGTTCCTTTTCAGACTGGTCCAGTGAGATTATTTGTGCCGTATAAAAGGCGAAAGAAGGATAGTGAGAGTGGTCCCCCTTCACCACCACCCAAAAAAGTGCGGCCTTCATCAGCCAAGTCACCTCCTGCTGTTTCTGCTAGTCACATGACCAAAGAAGGTAATGACATTTGACAAATATGGTTGATTGCTTACTCATCTGCTGTCTGTTTTGATGTCTGTCCTGAAAAGATTTTAACATGCAAATCAATAGCATGACCTAAAGTTCTGTTCAGAATCATGTATTCGTCCAGATAAAAAATATGCATCCCACAAGGCAGAATAGATATTGTTCAGGCGAAGTTAATATGTCACTACTTTTCCATATGTTATGAAATTATTACTTCACAAATATAACACTTCATTGCTTGACTCCAGAAAGTGTACATAATATTTATTGACGATATAAACCGATACGCATGGTATAGGTGAGAAATGTGGCAGCCATACAGGGGTGGAAATAACCCATTGCCCGACATCCCAGTCCTGTGTTTTTTTCTGTCGGGCGAGCAAATTTGTATATTTCGCTGTACCGGTGTCCAGTTGACTTTCCAATGTTAATTATGTTGTTTATTTAAAAAATCAACAAGAAAATTGGCGGTATAGTGGAAAAATTATCAGGGCAAGGGATTTTACAGGTGCAACTGTAGCGGAGTACACCAGCAATTTTAAAGTTATTCCCACCCCTGCCATATCCAGTGATGTCAACGTTCTTTATATGCATGGGGCGGCAGTGGGATAGCCCAGTGGTTAAAGCATTCACTCGTAACGTAACTTTGACGATACCATTACCACTGACTTTCTTATCTTGGGAAAATCTCTGCTTGTCTCAGTTAACACGGTATATTTTTTTTGTGTCATTGTTTTGACATCACTTCAGCGCTGACATATTTTGTGCTTTTAATTTATCAGGTGTGGTTGTATCTATTGGTAACGGACAAGCCCTGAGTCGATCCATCACCGTGGCGAACGCAGAGAATGGAGAAACGGTGCACATCGTCACCACTGATAGTGCTGGCAACATTGTGACAGCTGGAGGTAGGAGATGCTTCATGTTTTGATAATACAATTTGCAGAGATCCATATCGATTTTGCCATGGATTCAGCCTGATAATCAAATAAGGGTTAAGGTAAAAAGAAATAACTCTGACTTTCTTGGGACCGTTATTTTCTAGTAAATGTTGACTTTGACCGAAATGTGTTTTGATTCTATTAACATTAAGTCTATTGATATGATATGAGACATTAGTTTTGCTGTATTGTTGATACAGTTGCATATGTCATGTCCCATGTATGTGCCATATGGTCCATATTATTCATACGTACATGATAAAACAGTATGATATGACCCTTCGGACCTCGGGCTGATATGACTGGCGAAAGGAAAACTGTCATATAGTAACCCCTTATTATCATATGCCTATAGATAATATGGACCATATTGCCCATAAAATACATCCATATTGACCACCCGCTCCCGAAAATGCATACCAGCCATATCAGCCCTCAGGCCGAAAAACGCTTAAAACTTCAATAGACAGAGCCTGGTTTATTACATTCCTATAATACAAAGGTTATGATATGACAGTTTCCCTTTTTCCAGTCATATCAGTCTGAGACTACCATATCAGCCCTCGGACCTACAAGGGCTAATATGGTAGTCTTGGGCTGATATGACTGGCGAAAGGGAAACTGTCATGTAACAACCTCTTATTCCACGATGTAAGAAATTATTCGTTGCAACATGCAGTATTTGACCTGGCCTAGGTGCTGGAATTGACAGTACAGAGTTGTGTTTACTTAGACATGCCAAAATCCAGTCTTTATGGGTTTCCAATCCCACATTCTTGCTGAAGATGATGAGAGATTTTTAATAAGTGTGCATGTTGAAGTGTCTTAAGATCTGAGACCATGGTCTTGTTCTGGTACAGATGCAGTGGTGATGACTCCAATCGCCATTGCTCCCAACCCCAAGAACCAGACAGCCACTGTGGTGTCCATGGATGTTTCAGAGCAGAAGCAATGGTGGCAGCTGGAAGAGGTGACAACCTTTAATCACACTTAGTTTCAGTGTCAAGTCATAAACAATCCAGTTGTAAAAATTAACATGGAATTCATTGTATGTTTCCTGATCCTATCATAATCATCTCCTGAATCTTTATGGTTTCAATTTTGGTTCTACTGTGGTTTTAATACTTTGAGTTTGAAATTCAAGTGGTATTCCTCCTACAGTTGTCATTACTGGGGAGTGATGTACAATTACAAGACTTGAATCTCACATGTAAACAAGTTCTTGCTAGATAGTATCTGACCCCACTCTCATTCTACACTCTGCATTTTGATAGTGTTTTTAGGTATTTATGTATTTTGAAGAATGGATCAATGACAAGGAGTTTGAAGGATAACAAGTGCTTCAATACATATCCATTTTAGGGCTACTGGATGCATGAATTGGCAATGGCTTCAGAAATAGCCTTGAAACATGTATATGTGATGAAGTAAATAAATACTCCCTGTTATGATCTCATCCTTTTGGTTATCATCCAGGTTGTTGTTTTGACTGACCTGCATGAAGTTCAAGGTCACAGGAAAGTTCATCCTTGATTCCTTTTGTGCATCAACAATCTTCATGTTGGTATGAAATGTCTGTATGAGCTTGGCACAAGAGAAGTAATATGCAGATATGTTATAGGTTGATGTTAGGGTCAAGGTCATAAGGTAGCTAAAGTCATTAACTTTTGTTTCATATAATTATATGTAGTTTTGCTGCACGTAAAATAAAACAGCCCAGTTGTCTAAATGTACCTTAACTTATTTGAATTCTGCTGATCATGCTGACGTTATCATAATCAATATTGAATTGAATTGTGGTTTGAATGTGGAATTGGATTTCACTAAACTGCTCTTACCTATGAGTGCTGGGGAGTGATGTACAATTACAAGACTTGAATCAGATGTGTAAACAAGTTCTTGCTAGATAGTATCTGACCCCGCTCTCATGCCGAACGGAGGATCATGTGCCCTCTTTTCTCTCTCTCTCTCTCCCCCTGCATGAGCAACAGGGACAAGAAGTGTAAGTATGAGTTCCAAAATGACCCAGGACTGGGCTGTCACACACGCACGACACTGCACATGCTGACACGGATGCACTCTGTCAGTTGAGAACATTGTGTGTCTTGTGAAGTGTCCAGTTTCTTGCATGAGGAAATGCCGGATGAAAAAGAAAATTCATTGTGTGGTTGATGGTGCTTATCAGCATGTTTGGGGTTTCTAATCTGAGATGTGTCAACCTCTGAGATTGGACCTGTGGAGTTGAAGAGGCTGCACACAACTTCAACAAGTTTGGATTAACTGCTCATCATGATCTATTCTGGATGCTGTGTCTCAGTGTTATGGGTTGATTGACAGTTTGTTGTAAGAGGCTGAAGCTTGTTGTATCCCAGGCATCACCACAATCCTGACATGAGACATGGGCTGTCAATTCCACAGACTGCATCCAAGCTTGTTACAGATGATGCTAGGAGGAAAACATGTCTAACATTGATCCCTCTGCAGATCTCTATCACCAGCTTCAAGTATTTGTCAGCAGTACACAGTATTATGATGAAGTAGACGCCTCTTGGCAGGTGTGTGTGTGTGTGTGTGTGCGTGCGTGCAAGCGCAGATCGTTGTCACCCATTTTCACGAGTTTCATTGGTCATTTAATAAACTTTCAGGAGGGGGGGAGGTGAGCACCCCTGCACACCCTTCCCCCTTCCCCACAACATCCACCTATGATCCCTTGCCAGGTTTACGTGCCACAATACAGTTCAAATAATGATCGAAGCAGCTGAAAATATGCTGTTCTTTACTGCATTTTTCTCAATTTTGTCCGTTAATTTGACCCTAAAATGATGTCCTTGACTTGCAGATGACCGCAAGTTTGATTCAGCAAGCCCAGGGTCTGAAGGCCATGTTGGAGCAGGTGAAGCAGCAGAGCCTTATCAGCAAAGATCACGCTCTGCAGCAACTTCGGGCTCACATGGAGAAAGAGAAACAAGAGGTCTGGAATGAGCAGGATTCTGGAAACAAACTTTATTATGCCCCCACTGCTTCTAATACTGCCGAGGGCACTTACACTTTTGCTGTCCGCCCCGATATCTAGTAAGCACTGCACGGAGACACATTCAAGTATTGGCTCCTGTCTGGCTAGTACTCGCTCTACTTCTTTCCTTGACTTTGTAAAATGGCTCACTGTGATTTTGTGTAAAGTTCCTTTTCTTCTAAAGAATATCAATGCATGGTTCAAAGTTCAATTTTTTTTCTCTGAAAATGTTCCATATCATGTACTCTTTCCATTGTATAGCATCAACACCAAGTTTGGTGAACTGTTAAAATTCTCGCAGCTTTCATCTAAATGGATCAATTTTCATTTTGAAGCATCATAAAATCAATGTTATCAGCTAATGTGTTCACCGATGGGTTCCAGGCCTTGCAAGCTGCTAGAATTGAAGCTCAGATGAACTTGTCTCGTGTACTGATGGAGGAACGAGCTCAGAGAGACTTGGCTGTGCAGCAAGCCCTGGTACAGGGCAGGGCGGAATTGAGTGACAAACTGGACTCTGTGACTGTTGTGACTGAAGATAAAGTGAGCTACAATGTGACATGGCCACACCAGACCACACAAAACAATATTGAGAATATCATCTGTAATGAGGTGGATGATGAGGAGGAAGAAGATTCAGATAAAGAGAAATAGACTGCATCTGCTCAGCAGTTGTTAAACAAGCGTACTTGATGTTCCTACCCTGCTATATATATTTCTGTGTCTGTTTTGGAATTGCAGTTAGGCTTCAGCATTCAGGTCTCCTCCATGTCCTTGATCCAGATCTCGGTTCATAGTATTAATCCCTTCTCATCATGTCTCCTTAGTTCGTCCTGGGTTTATTTCACTATTTCCGTTCCTGTTGTATTTCTTTCATGCATGGGGGCGGTGGGGTAGCCTAATGGTTCATGGGTTGGCTAGTCACGCCAAAGACCCGGGTTCGAATCCCCACATGGGTATAATGTGTGAAGCCCATTTCTGGTGTTCCCCGCCGTGATGTTGCTGGAATATTGCTAAAAGCGGCGTAAAACCAAGCTCAGTCAGTCAATCAGTCTTTCATGCATAAATTGACAAGGACTACTCTGATATTATTGTGAAACTCAGTGATTTAAATGGTTCTCCTCAGTGTTTGCCCTTGACCCCAAAAAGCTGCAGATTCTAAGGACCCAGAACCATAAAAAGTTGTGTGTCCTGATCAGAATGTGTATGCCCTATATTTTAATAGGGAAATAATACTCTTTAGTTATTGGGGATGAAAAAGTTGTTGGCCATAAGGACCTGCAGAAAAAAAGCTGTGAGTCTGAGTGGTTCTCAGTCAGCTTTGGGCCTAAGGACCAATGTTAATTTCAAATGCTGTGTCTCGTGCCAGTAGTTCAAATCATTCTTTTACAGTGAAATTTCAGAGTAACCTAATAGCAGTGGTTTGACTAGCAGTATTTGACAATTCATGCTTAGAAACTTTCCTTCTTTTGTTGCAATAGGAGAAAAGTTATGAGGTATTGATACGTCCAAAGTAAATCTAAGAAAGGGTACTTATTTTCCACAGTGTAAAAAGATTTGCAATATAGTAACCAGAAGAGGTAAAAAAAAAACTCACCCAAGATAGTAAAGACTCTGCTTTTCTTCATCACTGACATAGATTGTGTCATTACCCCGTAAGTCTTTTGTCTGATTCTCTGCCTTGGGAGTATGTTTTTACTCATTTATGTGTTGCGGTATCATTGAGATTCATTTGACTGTAGACCTAACAGGCATTTAGAGAGGGTTCTCCTGTGTTGGGCTTGTCAGAGTTTGTATGATGTTACTTCCCTTGAGTTTGTGCTGTACATTTTGCCTACCAGTATCATATTTCATTTATTCTTTATTTAATTGCTCTGAGGCATAGGTTGAAGTTTTGATGTTCTGTTGTCTTCATGCCCACTCCAATCCACTGTTAGTCTGAGAGGTAATAGCCCCATGTATGGGATGCAAATTATGACTCACATTCATATACTTGTGTCCTCCTCAGAAAGTTGAGAATGAAATTTCGGTACACTGATCCATGGTATGGGTAATCATGTAAGCATTACAAGCTAACCAACAGGCATGGGATTGGGAGCTATAAGAAATTTACTCAGTATTATGACATTTGTAGCAAAAACGGATATGCATCATAGCTTGTGTCGCACACATAAACACAACGTATAGTGATGAGCTTTCTCTTTAATCATGCATGTTAAGGGTAGTATCTTTTCATTGTCATGCTAGTTCTGTTCTTATAATATCCACACTGATGCGAAACTAGACATCTAGTCTCTCTTCAGATTACTAATGTTTGAGAAACTAGTTAAGGCTAGTTGTTTGAAAGTGAAATTAGTCCCTGTTAAATATGAAACATACAACTTTATGGATGACAACATTTTGTTTATTGTGCATAGAGCGATAAAAGCTGACGAGAAGTTGTCATCCATAAAGTTGCATGTTTCATTTTTTGACTCGCCAACTTCTAGAATGCCAACCAAACAATTAGTCCCTGTTACATAAAGATGGCAATTTTAGTCTGATCCTTTAAAGTGGAAAATGTGTCCCCTGTTGCAGTGTTGCAGGTATAGCTAGTTTAATCGTTGAAATTGGCTCGTGACGCCGAAGACCCAGGTTCGAATCCCCACATGGGTACAATGTGTGAAGCCCATTTCTGGTGTTCCCCGCCGTGATGTTGCTGGAATATTGCTAAAAGCGGCGTAAAACCAAACTCAGTCAGTCAGTTAATCATTGAAATAAAAAACCTGTCTGTTAATTGAACAAATGATCCAATCATGCAGAGACCAATGAATTGATCCGAGTGAACTTAAATGTAGCCTAACTTAATTACTTTTAAAAGGTTTAATACAATTCTGCATGCTGGGTTAGTACTAGTTGCCCCCACTGTTTGTTGCGCCCTTAAAAGTGTTATTGATTAGTTTTTTACCTACATTTGAAAGGATGACATGACATCTGTATGCTGGAGAGGGCATGTGAACTTTTAATGATTTTTTCTTGACAATATGGACTGTAAATATGCTTCTAATCTTTCAATGTGGCGTTTTAAGTAATTTCATTCATCATTCATCATATTTTGTGATATTTGTACACACAAGATTCTTTAATGACTAAGTATTTCTGCAGAAAACATACAAGCATTATTGAAGTAGAGCAGATTTCATCACTAAAACAATTCTATGATATTTTAATGAAATATTGTCGCCAGATTGGAAAATAATTCATTAAAAGAATAATTTGTTTAGAGTTTTTCTTGCACTTATATACCTGAAAATGATATATTATATTAACTTAGAATGAACAAATCAAGAAAATATTTGTTTTGGGTTGGGTTGGGTTTGTTTTGTTTTTTTGGGTGGGTGGGGTATTTTTGGGGTTTTTACTCAAGAAACTAAAGATATCTGTTTTGCTTGTATCAATTTGTTACAAAAAGAACATGTGTTTCAGGAAAAGAAAATTTATTTGTGTATGAAGGGGTCAGAAACATGTATTCTTTGAATGAAATATGATATTGCTGCTGTGTTTCATGTTTACTCATTTTTTAAACTGGTGTTTTGCTCTGTCGAACTTTCAAGTGCTACTCATCAACATGAAGCTTGTAGTTTAACGCTTATTGTGTTGTCTATTGTTTCAGCTTACTGTCAATAGGAGCCACATGTTTGTATGATTATGGTTAGAAAAATATCATAACATGGCAGGGTATAGGACAATTTTTTTGGGCCAAATTTGGGAAATTTAAGGGCATGTCTAGAATTTGTCAGGTGTAACATGGATAGTGAAAATGTCAAACTGCATCAAGACAGGGGGTTTTCAGAGAGCAGGGTTTTAATATACATTTTGGTGTACCGTAAAAAAAATCATCAAAGGATATTGTCAAAGTAGGCTTGTATTTATTCAAGGTACATTCACATAGGCATTCAGGATTGTCTTCATAAAGAAGTCAATCTTACGGTCTTAAGAAATTGATGTGGATGTCCCAAATTTCAAGATTAATGGACCCACATCATACCTCTTTGTAGACATCACCGGACACTATTCTAGAGGCTGCTGCCCATGCAGGGATACATAAATACTTGGAAGCCTTAACAACCAGTGGATAAAGGAGAAAACAATTCTAGCTCAACAGCAATTCAGTTTGTGGCATTTTTTAATATTTTGAGGAGATTGTTTGGTTTTGGGCATGCATTGACTTGTTCAACTGGTTCTTTGTAATTAAGTGGATCAGTCAGTTTGAATACAAGGCTTATCCTTTTCTATTTTATTATATCATTCATGTTCATACAGAATAAAGAGATTGATTGTTAATATATCAGTGTTGTTTGTCTCGTGTGGAAAACACTGTGATGTGTAATTAGTATGCTTGACTTGCCTGACCTGTGACATTCAGTGGATGACAAGTGGAAAAATGTCATTTAGTAACCTAAAGTATTGATCAGTAAAATAGAATGATGTTTTTGGTAGATATCGTGGAGATAATCGATTGAAAAAGAAGGACATCTGTATATATCAGCATAAAAATAAAAACACTATCTACTTGTGCCATAGATGAGTACCTAAATGACATAAATGGGAGAAACCTACTGAAATAAAAACTTTTCTAAGTTTATTATGCGTTTATTGAAAAAAACTACAACATCCATGCTTGTTACGTCCTCGCTCACGTGCTGTCAACATGGGTAGAGGAACAACAATGCCCGTATCAGTTGTGAAGGTAATAAAGAGGGTATGTTCTTTCTTTTAGTGGGAAAAGAAATTAGGGAAGAATATGGTAAATTTGAATCGGGCATTGCCAAGAACAGCCCGAGCTGTGGGACTATCTGTGACTCAAGTCATCATCAATAAACAGACGACGAAAGGTAGTGGAGGGACCGTCTCAAAAGAGCGGAGAGGTAGAAAGAAAGTGGTTGACAGTTTTGACAGGGCCATAATCAGGCGCGCAGTTCAAAAGCTTTATCGTAGCCGCATCCCTCCCACTGTCAAACGTATCCAACTTGAAATTAGGGATACTATTTGTGTTTCAAGCAGGACTTTAACACGTGTTTTGAAGGACATGGGGTTCCAATATTCCAAACGAGGAGAAATTAGACATTTGTTCGGAGAAAAAAAGACTATGGTCAATCAGAGATGTGCCTACCTGAGACAGATACGTGAGTACAGAGAACTGGGGTTTGACATTGTTTATACTGCTGAAACGTGGGTGAACAAAAATCATTCGACAGATAGAATGTGGCTGCCATGTGACATGTCCCCTGCACCTCATATACCGTCAGGTAAAGGGAAAAGACTCATCATATTACACGCGGGTAGGAGAGACTGTGGACTGATTCCAGGATGTGATCTTGTTTTCGAGGCTAACAGCAGTGAGGGTGACTATCACAAGGAAATGAATTCTCAAGTCTTCATGGAATGGCTGGAACATCAACTGTTACCAGAGTTACATAACCCAAGCGTCATTGTTTTAGATAACGCCTCTTACCATAATGTGAAGTAGGAATCAACAGTTGCCCCAACCATGGCCAGCAAAAGATGTGTGATGCAATCCTGGTTGAAAGATCATGATGTTTCTTTTGATGCCAGAGACACAAAGCCAAAACTTCTTGAACAAATAAAAGTAAACAAACCTAAACCACAGTACCAAACCGATGCTCTAGCTGGATCTCAGGGACATGTTGTTCTGAGAACTCCAGTGAGACACTGTGAACTCAACCCCATTGAACTAATATGGGCGAATTGCAAGAACTTCGTGGCGAAAAAGAACAGCACGTTCAAACTTTCAGATGTGAAACGATTGGTACAGCAAGCTTTTGAAAGGATTGACAGTGAAACATGGACAAATGTTGAAAACCATGTCATCAAGATTGAAAATGAATACTGTGAGGTTGATTGGGTTGCTCAGAGTGATGTCCAACCAGTGATTGTCCATCTTGATGGCAGTAGCTCAAACGGGTTATGAGACGACCCTCCACTAA